GGAAAAATCCCAAACAGGGAGATACTGGGGGAAGGCACACGCTGCTTCTAGCTTTTCCTTGTCTTCTTCCTGTCTTCCGCTGTCCGTCCCTTCCTCTTCTCTGCCATTCCAGAAGCTATAAAGCAGGAACCCAGTCAATAGTGTGTTCTTTAGCTCTTCCTGCTTTGTACATTTTCAAGAGTCTGATGCAATTGTTCTTAACAATCTCCTTGAAAACAAGAAAGACTACCCTTCCTACTTTAAGTGTCTAAGAGCCTACTCCTTAAAATGAAGTGGGCACATAAATAATGCTTGTTAAATTATAGAGAACTGGGAAGAGAGGAAGAGAAACCAGATCAGTCCTAAGGTTTGGCTCATTCCTCTGCTCAGGCCAAAAGGATTCTCACTCCCTTTAAACCCTGAAATAACTGTTGTTTTACTGCCTGGTTGTATTTGTGCTACCCCAGAGGAAGAAATGAGCTAACCTTCCCTAGGCACAAACATTTACCCACATTATAGTTTCTGAAGTACTTTTGACTCTGGTGCAGCCTCCTATCCGAAGTAGCTCTCTGTATTTTACTAGATGTTCATCATACTATACTGTAGTGGTTATGTTTTATCTCCTTTTCCCAAAAGGTGAGTTCTTAAAGTATAGAGACCATATCTGAGTAATCTGTTTGCTGAAGAAATGTTACTGTTCTCTACAATAGTAATCTTTGAAAGGCTAGTATATGTTAACCTTAGCACAGTAGATCTTAGCTCACATGACTTAATACATAGTAGGCTTTCAGAAAATTACTTGTTGATTTTTGAGCCAAGTGGTCTGTCCTGTAAGTTAGAGATATTTCTTTTTCCCTCTCTGTTCCTGCTGTTGCTCTTTTCATTCTTCCTGGCTTGAGTACTTTTTTTGTTTCTGTGCTCTACCACCACCTGTTGCTTCCCTATTACATTATCTAGTTCTCCTTTGGCTGCTTTTCACAGAACTCGCCATCCCTGCAAATTTCCCTTAAAGCCAAACTATATAAGGCTTCCAAAGCTTCCAGCCCTGTAGAAGCAGCCATCTGTGCAAGAAGCAGAGGCTGTGGCTGATAGACTAAGGCAGATTTTCCCAGTATTAAGAATCTGAAGACCTGGGTCCGGGGTTCTATTTGATGCTTAATTTCTGTGACCTTGAGCAATTTACTCACTATAGTTGCTTAAAGTATGTACATGTACATATAATCTAAAATCTGTCCTATTTTTTAAAAAGGTCCTTTTTGTCATCCCTATAAACAACCTATGATTAAAACCACATTAATAATCTAGGGAGATTATTTGCGTAAAGACATACTACTTGTGTTTAAGAGCCACGACCATTTGAAAACTGGAAAACTAAATTTTAGTAAAATTGCTGTATATTGGGACCACTAATTCTGTGTGATAATGAATAAAAGGTTTATTTACCTTTGCAATGTTTATGGGGGGAAAAGGTATTTACCAAACAAATTATATTGCTAATGTGATTATAAAGTTTAAGCCAGTTTAGAGGGTAAATTTATTTTCTTAATATTTGTCTTTTCTCTACATGTGGTTACCTATTAATTATACCTTAATTGGTCCCCTGAAAACATTCTCATCCTATCATTTGTTGGCTATCTTTCCAGTCCTTGTTAATTCACTCAATACTGGATAATAAACCTGCATTTCTTTTAAGACATATTTATTCAGTTTTGCCATCAGTGTCTAACCCCAACACTTACTCCTATAGTCCAAATTAGTAATATTTTAACGTATTGGAAGAACAGCTGCTGTAACTAAAAGTTTAGCAGAGTTAGAAGTAGCTTTTAAAGTGGGATTTTTAATGACTTCTGATGTCCATCATATGCAATGTACAAGTACCCAGTCATTTCAGTGCTAAACCATCAGTGCTTCTTCTTCCCACTTTAGTCCGCTATGTCAAAAAATTGCATCAAGCTTTTGTGTGAAGATCCCGTTTTCGCAGAATATATTAAATGTATCCTAATGGATGAAAGAACTTTTTTAAACAACAACATTGTCTACACATTCATGACACATTTCCTTCTAAAGGTATGTGGTACTTTGGAAACTCGGTGTGTCGCTTCTAATTAGTTGATGCTTGTGTTTTCATTATGTTGGTCTCTTGGAGATTTTTTTTAAATGTTTTTTTTTTCAGGTTCAAAGTCAAGTGTTTTCTGAAGCAAACTGTGCCAATCTGATCAGCACCCTTATTACAAACCTGATAAATCAGTATCAGAACCTACAATCTGATTTCACCAACCGAGTTGAAATTTCCAAAGCAAGTGCTTCTTTAAATGGGGTAAGAACTACACAAAGAGGTGGCTTATATTTTAGAACTGTCCTTAAATCAACTCTGTATCTGGCTATCATGATTTCACTATAACTTTTACTATTCAAACCCTAAAAGTCACATATGAAAAAACCAAATTTTAAAAAATGTGTTCACCATCATGCCTTGTGTGTAGCACACAATTTGTCACCTTAGAAGACACAAGCTAATGTCATTAACTAGTAAGAGCAATAAGACCACTAAGAGATATTCCCTTTATCAGTTTTTTAGAAATTACTTGTGATGTTTCTAGCTCCTAAGTAACTGAAATAATTAATGATCTAGTGATTATAAAGGCAGTTAAAATTAGAGTTGTTTCATGTGGACTCCCAGGGCAGCCATGTGACAGAATGATGAAACACTCTGGAAATGTACTGTTCAGCTGCAGTCTCCCAAATAAGATGCTTACAAGCCAGAACAGATTACAAAGCTGAGCGAGGAAGACCTATTTGTGACTTCTACCAGAGTTTACCTTGAGAAACTGTAAATTATACTAATGAGACCTAAATTTCTCATGGTTCAAAGTTTATTTTTAAGATTTCTATGTAAATCTGCCTAAGTTCTACTACTGATACATATATTTTTTTCCTTTTCCATTTTCAGAAAATACTATTTGAGTCTTTGGTCTTACTTGTGGGCATAAAATAATGGTACTAGTGACTTAGAACTGATGAAATACAGTATATGATAATATTGGCTTTCTGGTTTTAGCATTCTTCTAAAAATGGTGGAGAAAACAGGGAATTTCTGGAGAAAACATCTGCATTTAACTGTAAACAGTTGTGTCAAAATGTGGGCTTTACGATTTGAAATGTTCCTATCTGGGTTTTTGTAGGACCTGAGGGCCCTTGCTTTGCTCCTGTCAGTACACACTCCCAAACAGTTAAACCCAGCTCTAATTCCAACTCTGCAAGAGCTTTTAAGCAAATGCAGGGCGTGTCTGCAACAGAGAAACTCACTCCAAGAGCAAGAAGCCAAAGAAAGAAAAACTAAAGGTTAGTTTTATGTACTAATACCATTTAACAGTTCTATGTTCAATTGAACCTCTTAAATACAAATGCTAAAAACAAAATTGTCTTCCCACATCCATGGTCCCCTTCCAAGAAGTTTCAGTTTTGATGTTCGTTTTCACAGATGATGAAGGGGCAACTCCTGTTAAAAGAAGGCGTGTTAGCAGTGATGAGGAACACACTGTAGACAGCTGCATCAGTGACATGAAAACAGAAACCAGGGAGGTCCTGACCCCAACCAGCACTTCAGACAATGAGACAAGAGACTCCTCAATTATTGATCCAGGAACTGAACAAGATCTTCCTTCCCCTGAAAATAGTTCTGTTAAAGAATATCGAATGGAAGTTCCATCTTCGTTTTCAGAAGACATGTCAAGTATCAGGTCACAGCATGCAGAAGAACAGTCCAACAATGGTAGATTTGAAGACTGTAAAGAATTTAAAGACCTCCACTGTTCCAAGGATTCTACCCTCGCTGAGGAAGAATCCGAGTTCCCTTCTACTTCTCTCTCTGCAGTTCTGTCTGACTTAGCTGACTTGAGAAGCTGTGATGGTCAAGCTTTGCCCTCCCAGGACCCTGAGGCTGCTTTATCACTCAGTTGTGGCCATTCCAGAGGACTCTTTAGTCACATGCAGCAACACGACATTTTAGATACCCTGTGTAGGACCATTGAATCTACAATCCATGTGGTCTCAAGGATATCTGGCAAAGGAAACCAAGCTGCTTCTTGACATTAGGTGTAGCATGTCTACTTTTAAGTCCCCCCTTCCCCCCAAGCTGTTTGTATAAGTTTTGCTTATTTGTTTTTGTGCTTCAGTTTGTCCAGTGCTCTCTGCTTGAATGGCAAGATAGATTTATAGGCTTAATTCTTGGTCAGGCAGAACTCCAGATGAAAATACTTGCATCTTCAGTATACTTTCTAAAGGGCAATCAGATAATGGATATGTTTTATGTAATTAAGAGTTCACTGTAGTGGCTTTCATTTAATATGGCTGTCTGGGAGGAACAGGGTTCCCTGGCCCTGTACAATGTAATTTAAACTTACAGCATTTTTACTGTGTATAATATGGTGTCCTCTGTGCCAGTTTTGTACCTTATAATAGAGGCAGATTGCCTCCGATCGCTGTGGTTCTTATTATCAAAATTAAGTTTACTTGTATACGGAACAACCACAAGAAATTTGATTCTGTAAAGAATCCTCTTTAGCTGTGGCCTGGCAGTATATAAATGGTGCTTTATTTAACAGAATACCTGTGGAGGAAATAAAGCACACTTGATGTAAAAATAATTGTTTTATTTTTATTGACATGACTGATTGCTATTCTGTGCACTTAATTAAACTGATTGTGATGACTTTTCATTTGTTTACATACGTTGGTTGCTTCAGTCTAATGAGAAAACTGTGAATGGGGGGAAGCACTTCTTATCCATTATATTCTTTCATTAAAAGTGTTAATGGCAGTCCACAACAGTAACTTACCCCACAGACCTCTCTGTCCTCTCCACCCCAAAGTGCATAATCCCTGCAGGGCCAACCACAGGTGGCAGGGAGAGGTGGAACAGAATGCAGCCAACACGCCCTCACTTGAGCATGCTTCTGAATGCAAGATGCCACTGTTTTACTACCTAAGAGATACATACCTTAAAAACACTAAAATAAAGGTCAAGTACCAACATGCCATTTATTTTTTGTTCTCTTGAACTAAAACTATAGCTGAAAGCTTGGAAAATATCAACTATCTTCACTTAGGGACTTGATCTATTATCAGAGGAGTATCTATGAAAGGTGAGGTTATTAATACCAAATTTCAGGTTGCTTGCTACTTTTAATTCAATGTAGAGTCTAGTTATAGTGAAGAGTCAAACAATGGTTTATATTCTGAATAGGTTCATGGATTTCATCCAATATAAAATAAATTAAAGGGTTTTCTTTTTTAAAAGGGAGGATAGGGAAGAGGTAAACATTAACACTGTTTCTGCTTACAAAAAGTAATGCCCTTATAAAATCTTAACTAATTCAACCATTTAGGATGGTCAGTTGCAGTAAACCTTTTATTTCTTCAAAATGCTGCTTCTGCCAACAGAATTTCATGTTCTCTTCTTTACAGACAGGAACTCCTTTACAGTCCAATTGTAATTCCGTTTGCCCTAGAGTAGGCACAAAATTCAGTACAACTGTTGCATAGTGTTCTAGAAGAAAAACGGGAACCTTATTACTGCATTATAAAGAAAAATTTACCCAGGAAGAAAAACTCAGCTTTAGTGTTTTGGGATTTCTGCACTAATACCATACCTTCTGGCCAGTTCCTACATCTCCATTTCATGACGATCTTTTTGTTTGTTAACTGAAAATAAAGAAATTACACTGAAATTATCTTTTAAACTCTCCCACAATACAACATACAAAAAAGCCAAATCCTTTCAATAAAACCCCTAAGTACTAGAAGAATCAATGAACATCATAAATATTCCCACCTTCCAGTGCTATGCCAGCACCAATGATAACTGTCTTTATAGCCAAACTAGCAAAGTTAATACTGGTATGAAGAACAGAACTGATGTCCAGGGTGACGCAACAAAGACTCTAGTGACTTAGTGCTAAAAACAGCATGGACAGAAAGCAAGAGTAACCAAAGGAAGCATTAGCCTCAGCTTACGTCTGTAACCCTAAGTTACTTACCAACTCCATATATTCACCAGAGATGTTCCCATCAAACATCTGGAATTTCCCTCCCTTTTCAACTTCTAATACAGCAGGAGATTTAGAAAATTTTTGCACCAACTAACCAAAACATAAAATAGACATGTTATTCTACATGTTTCCACTTTTTTAATCCAAATATAAAAATTACTATGATTTAGGTTTTTTGATTTCCTGATCATACAGCTTTTACTTACAGAAAATAAAACACAAAAGCTTTCTCTTCCCAGAAGGAGAAAACTTCCATATATCCCCTAAATGCTGACATAGTCCAAAAATGCCCATCTTTACCCCCTCAATATTCAGAAGCCAGCCTCACAAATGTTCCCATCACCGCCATCCCAGACCCTTCAATCAAAAACTAGCTCCTCTTGTTTGTGGCCTATTTTCCCCCAATGTCAGCATTTAAGCTATTAGCTAAGGAGTTACTTACATCTTTCACAGTGAAGATACTGTACAGCTGCTCTACGGTTGCGTCAAACAGTTCCATCATGTGCAGAGCCACAGTAGGAATCTTTACACCCAGTGCTACTGGAGATGAGGCCTGAATCTCGAGAAAAGGAGAGGTTCCAAAGGATAATTAGCATACCAAGAGATAAAGCTGCTAGGACTTAATAAGTCAGTCTTCTCGATAAAACACCAAAAGGTCCCAAGTTCCGAACTACCCATTTGAGACACATGAAAGCCTTTTTAGTACCATCAATCCTGGTCTTTACTTGAGAAACAGAGCTCATTCCCATGAGCTCCTTAGCTCTGTTCCATTCCCAGGCTAAGAATGAACATCCCTAATCCTAGTTAGACACGCAAATATGGCCCTGAGGACATAGAGGTGAGCAGATGAAAGACAACTGCACTTATAGCTAAATAAAGGGTATCAATTACACACAAACACCTGTTCCTCAATTCTAAGCACAGGATCTAAAATCTCCCAATACCAAAGTCAGGAAAGAAGGTTCTTCCAATTTGGTATGTGAACCTCAAAGTCACCTGATTTTGTAATCTGTTGCCTACCATAGAACACTGCCTTTTGAGCAGTCTTGAATTAAGTGTTTATCCTACAAAAAGGCCTATTCATACATTCTCTTCCATCAAGAATGAAAGTCTCATTTTATCATTTCCATAACAAAATGGTCGATCTTAAAAACTCACACAGACCTGCAGATTTGTTCCTTGCCTAACAGAAAAGAAAAGAAAAGAATAAAAGCAAAAGAAAATTATATTAAAAAAAAAAAAACTCACACAGGACCCAAAGGTAGACTAATGCCCTCCTCACTATCCTTCACTTCCTATCATCATCAAAAGACTATGTGGAGCACTAATAAAAAAAAGCACTTCCTTTTCATCCTTTCTACAATTTTGGCCACCAAAGGTCATACCTGCGAGGTATTCTCACTCAGTTTCCTTTTAACAGTCAATTCCTGGGTTGCCATAGCTTTCGTTGGTAAAATCATTCCCATTGTAAATTCTATAAAGAAATGTGGGAAATGGTTTTAATAAAGACCTTTTTCCTTTTAAGCACAAAGAGTAAGGTAGAAAACCCAAAACAGAATGTAAGAAAATAAAAGAACAAACTTTTGTGAAAAGAATTCCTACAGCATTTTTTTTTTTTTTTGAGACAGAGTCTCACTTTGTTGCCCAGGCTAGAGTGAATGCCGTGGCATCAGCCTAGCTCACAGCAACCTCAAACTCCTGGGCTCAAGCGATCCTCCTGCCTCAGCCTCCTAAGTAGCTGGGACTACAGGCATGCGCCACCATGCCCAGCTAATTTTTTCTATATATATTAGTTGGCCAATTAATTTCTTCCTATTTATAGTAGAGACGGAGGTCTCGATTTTGCTCAGGCTGGTTTTGAACTCCTGACCTCGAGCAATCCGCCAGCCTCGGCCTCCCAGAGTGCTAGGATTACAGGCGTGAGCCACCATGCCCGGCCCTTCCTATAGCATTTTGAAAATTTCAAGACCATTCCATGTTTTTAACATATAAAACTACTGATTAACATGAGTTCCACAAATGCCTTTTATTCTTTTTTCAAATGCCTCACTTTTATCAAGTTCTTGATAAAACAGCAAAATCTAAAAAAGTTCTTTTCCAAATAGCTAAGTTTCATGAGTACTAATAGCTTTGTGGCTCTCACCTACTGTCAAAACAGACACTTTCTCATGCCTTCACCACCATCTCACAAAGCTTATCCTCATACTATCCAAGCTTGTGAGCCAGCCACGTGTGGTCTCGTGGGAAGTGACAACCCCAGCTCATCTATGCCAATAACCAGATACTCAGGTAGCAGGGTCCAAGCATGAGGTGCAGAGATACAGGCCCTGCTGGCCATTTGCCTGGCTGATAACTTCTAATTGAAAAGGGAAAAAGACAATAACCTCACTTCCATGCAGTGTAGATTATCTAGGTAATCTCAACTACACCTATAATACCTGCAGTCACTTTCATTCATTCAATTCATTCATTCAACAAAGATTTATTAAGCACCTACTATGTGCCAGGCATTGTGCTAGATGCTGGAGATACAGCAGTGAACAAGACAGACACCTTCCATGCCCTCATGGAGCTTATAGTCTAGCAGGAAAACAGACATTAAACAAGTAATTACACAAATAACTGATTAAATAATTTTCATTCCAGAAAACTAGTATTAACAGTTCTGTAGGCAAAATGGTTCACGCTATGTACAATCCTGATAATCACTAATTATGGTCTTACCCATGACTAGCTCTCAACTTCCAGACCACAAATTTTTCTGCAGTACAAAGAGTTGCTTCTGGAGCCTTAGACATCAGACATCCCTAATCTGGGAATTCAGACCACAGGGCAGAGGATAACTTGGGTAAATAGAAAAGGGACCCTCTAGTTCACAAGGGATGCCTTCTTTACCCGTCTTAAGTGCCTTCAGGTAATCTCCAAGGGCCTCCCTGACCTTGGCGGTGCCTGCAGTTTTCATAAGATCCTTCAGTATATCCCCATCTCCTTTCTTTTTACTCACGTTCACCTACAAATCAGAAAAATACAAACCTAAGAAAAATCTGGTTTGCTGTATTTACAACGCTGGGCCATATGGATGAGAGAACTGTGATGAGAGGGGAGGAGAAGAAGTGGAGATGAGAGAGGTGACAGGTTTCCTTACACAGCAGGAGGGTGTCACCCAGAGTCCATGGAGGGGTCAGTCGCTACGTCTTGAATGGACGTCACAGACTCTGAACCCTTTCAATTGCATACAAAACTGTGTGTGTATGTGAACTACATTGCTGATGTGGTCCATGGCTTTTATCAGGGTCTAGAAACGTGCTGTCCAATACAGCAGCCACTACCGTACATCTGAGCACTTCAGATGCCAGCGGTCTGAACTGATATGTGCTGTAAGTATAAAACTGAATACACACCAGACTCTGAAAACTTAGTACAAAAAAAAGTCCAAGGCTGGACCTGAACTCCTAAGCTCAAGCAATCCTTCCGCCTCAGCCTCCAGAGTGGCTGTGACTAGAGGCATGTACCACCACACTGACTTTAACTTTTATGATACAGCTACTAGAAAAATTACAATTGCACATGTGGCTTGCACTACATTTATATGGGACAGCGCTGGTCTAGAACCCTGAAGCCACTGTAATTAGGTAAAATAAGTTCCCAAATAACCTGGCCTCGAGCAACCTTTTTTGGCAGGGAGAATTGGGAACGGGAGAAGAAGAGTAAAAGACAGAGAGAGGCAGAGGGAAAGAGGAAGAGAGGGAATAAGGGAAAGATGGGAGAGGGAAGCATCAGAGGGACCTGCGGATGCCTCTACCAGTCTCAGAAGGAAAAGGGGGGTTGATTTGAAATCATTTAGTGTCTGGATGATTCAGTTGAGCTATACCTGATCCCAGGCCCCAGTTCGAATCCGAGGAGTTTGCTCTGTAATGCTACTGAGGGATTAAATCTAAAACCCAGTTTAACGTGCTGTGGAAAGCTGCTCAGCTGACGGATGTAGAGACCGCGAAGTGCCAGTCCCTGAGAAGAGCTACGACACAGCGGGAGATCCGTCTCAGAGCCCGCACCTTCCCGGCATTTTATGACCTTCAATAAAGGCGTGTCAAAGACACGCTGCTCAGTAGGATTTAGTTCTATCATTGAAAAGCCTTCTTCACATTAAATACATTCACAAATCAAAAAAAAACTCTTTGTGAGACTATCTTAGTTTGGAAAATACAGCTACTGCACGAACGATCCCGCCCTCAGAACGCAGCTTTCCGCCCGGTTAGAGGGCGCTAGCTACAAGCCAGGCACGGGAGTCACTCCAGGGTCTATCCCTCGAAAGAACTAGGAGAGCAGGTCAAAAGCGGCACATCCTAACCAGGTAAGTTTACAAAAAACCCTTGAGTCATAACCAAGGGCGATCGCAGCTGAAGGCTACAGATCTTCACTGTTAAGGGGAAACAGCAAAGGTGCAGGGAGAGAGAAACAAACTCACATGCCGCGAGCCGTGCCAGCTGCCGGAGCTTTACCGTGCACGCACCGTCACGTGTGGCCCGGTAACACCCCCGGAAGGCGAGGCGGCTTTGGAGGGTGCGGCCCTTACCCTTCGTCGTCCCCATTCCAGCTCCACACGCCATGCTGCCCCCACAGGAAAGCAATCCCCGGCACACAAGCCCCCGCAATTCACCAAGGCTACCACACCGAATCACGCAGGCTGATAAACGTTTTTTCAAACGCACAGTGTCTACAGCAGAAGCTGCAATGGAAAAAAAAGAACAAAACTCCAGCAGTACCTCAGTGTCATCTACTTCATTTTCCTCAGAAAGACTGGGTATTTCAATCAATCCCTTGTGCTTCGCGCCAGATTCTTTAACGACACCTAAAATGAACACAGTGAGTTCTGCAATTAAAAAGTAGTAACTGGTTTTCTGCAAAACTGCCCCACCTGACAGCCCACCCGCCTCCCTCACCGGCCACTACTCGACCCTGCCCCGAGCCCGTGGGAGGTGGGGCCAGCGCCCTGAGGGAGGCTCGGGGTCCATAACCATGTTTCTCTTCCTGTCCTGCAGTTTTCCCACCTGGTCAAAGCAGGACAAAGGGCTCTCTTGAGGGGGAGAAGAAATCACAGAAGGGCTGGGAGAACAGAAGGGACAGTGAGTGCAGGTCATGGAGAGCCTGAGAGGAGGGAGGCTGGGGCTGGGAGGTCCCATGAGGACTCCATGCAGCTGGATTTCAAGACTACAGTGCTGGCTCCTCCCTGACGGGTCCCACCTGCCACCTCTGGGACTGGATGCTGGAAAAGGCCTGGCAGTGGCTGGGTCTATCTTGCAAAGGGGCTGGCTGCTGCTTTGAGCCAAAGAAGACTGAAGAGACCCAGACCATACACGAGGTTCCCCAGGGCCCGAGAGCACTGTCTTGGGGAAGGGTGGGGAACCAGCCGGGGGGTGGGGGGGCAAACTCCCAGCTTGAGGGTCCTGTTCCTAGGGAAAAAGGACTGCTTTCCACACCTGCTCAACAACTCCCTGGACTCCGGCTGGGCTCACGCTAGTAAGCGAGCCACGAGGGCAGAGGCTCGAGGACAGCTAACTGGACTGCTCTCTAACACAAGCTCTCAAGAGAGGACCTGAACTCTGGGCTGAGGCCCAAACCTTTACATAGCACAGCCCTCCAGGACCAGATCTCTCCCCTCCTACGCCTCCTCTCCGTGTCTCCACATCCTTGCTTACGCAGCAAGTATTTACTGAGCACGTACTGTCTGCCCAGCCAGGGACTAGGCACCACCAGAAAATTTAACCAAAATATCCAAGAACTGGAAACAACCAAAACACCAATGGAAGAACAAAATGTGGTATACCTACACGGTGGAACATCAGTCAGCTATAAAAAGGAATGAAGCACTGAAACATACTGTATGATTCCATTTACATGAAATGTCCAGAGGCAAATCCACACAGTCAGAAAGCAGATTAATGGGTGCCAGGGGCCTGCAGAAGAGGGCAATGGGGAGTGACTGCTAACGAGTACAGGATTTCTGTCTGGAGTGATGGTTATACGACTTGGTGAATATACTGCAAAACACTGAATTATACACTTTAAATGGATGAACTGTAGGGTATGTGAATTATATCTCAAAGAGCTGTTCCTTTTTTTAATCCCTGCCCTGGTAAAAGTGGGGATGAGCAAGTAGCAGGCCAGTAAGTGCAAGGTTTACATAAGCACATACAGTATACCCAGTGTCAGTGATTTGGGGAAAAGGCAGGGAAGGGGGCCCATATGGGGGTCAGCAACATTTCCAGAATGGAGAAAGACAACAGGCCTGAAAGAGGCAGGCAGCTGTCAGGGGAAGAGCACTCCAGGCAGCAACTCAGCCCAGCGGACAGCACTGAGCTGTCCTGTCCGCAGCTGAGTGCAAGGAGGAAGGCAGCGCCAGGTGTGGTCAGAGCAAACACCTGGGGAACTACTGACACCAACTCAGGAGCCAGTCAGCTCCCGGCCCACAGCAGGACTTCTGAAACTACACACTGAATGCATTCATAACAAAATGACTCTGCCCCAAGGCTGCCTCCTGCCCCACCGGTCCCCAGCCCCCACTTACCTTTCCAGCCCAGTCTGATGTTCCACTCATAGAAGAAAATCAGCTTTCCCTTGCGGCTGCTGCAGGAAGCCTCACCTTCCACTTGCTTCAGCTCACTGACCTCGCAGCGGCCGGCCTCGTTCTCCACAGCGATGCCCACCAGGAGCTCCCGGAGCCTCCCTTTGGACCAGCTGGTGGCGTCCCGCTCTGTCCTGCCAGGACAGAAGGGCACAGTGGTGAATGGAGGCCCCAGCCTGGGTGCTAGGGTGATGTCCAGGCCAAGCCCAGCCCCATCAACCTGGGGAGACCTGTCACCAACTTACAAATGTGCTTCTCACACCTGCTTTCTACCAAATATCTTTGAACCCTTCTGCTCTGTTCCTTAAAATAGTATTATCCACTAAGTAAAGTAGTATTGTGTTCTAAAAACACTGGCTTAAGGCCGGGCGCGGTGGCTCACGCCTGTAATCCTAGCACTCTGGGAGGCCGAGGCTGGCGGATTGGTTGAGGTCAGGAGTTCAAAACCAGCCTGGGCAAGAGCAAGACCCCATCTCTACTATAAATAGAAAGAAATTAATTGGCCAACTAAAAATATATAGAAAAAAATAGCCGGACATGGTGGCACATGCCTGTAGTCCCAGCTACTTGGGAGGCTGAGGCAGCAGGATTGCTTAAGCCCAGGAGTTTGAGGTTGCTGTGAGCTAGGCTGACGCCAAGGCACTCACACTAGCCTGGGCAACAAAGGGAGACTCTGTCTCAAAAATAAAAAAACAAACAAAAAAAAACACTGGCTTATCCTGGGGAGGAGGGTCTAGCAATCTCACCCATTGGAAATTAATGGGGAAAGCCTGAGCCAGATGAAAAGGTAGTAGTAACTGAAATAATCAGAATCACAATGCTATCTGGTGTTTTCACATGTACATTATCTCATGCAATCTTCCTAAAACAATAAGCCCATTTTAAGGAAAAGAGAGGAGCAGAGGCCAGGCCTCTTCCAGTCCTGCCCAGTCATGCCCCTCAGGCCTCCCAGGCTGCCGCTCTGCCCTGGGGACACGCCTCAGCATCGCCTCCAAGGCCTGGAGGTGCCAGAGCCCTGAAGGCCACAGGGGCAGGACAGAGGGCTTCCCTCCTTCCTTTCCTGAAGCCCTGCCAGGGCCAGAGAGAGGGAGGCAGACACCAGCCCACTACAGAAAAGGAAGAGGAGGACGCGTAACGTGTTCAAACTCACAGAAGGCCCAGCTCACGGGAGGCCCACCGGACTAGGTGCAAAGTTGAGATCCAAATTCCTACTCTGTCCACTACACACCAAGTCACCCCCACACACACACACTCCCCGGCTCCCTCTGAACTCCCAGAAACATCCAGAGGACTGAGGATGGGCGGGGGAGGGAAGACCCTAAGGCCACACACACTGTCAAAGTTGCACAGGCGTGCCAGGAGTCCTCCTGGGGCCCCGCTCAACTTCCCAAAGAGGAAACTGCGCTCCAGCGCCCGGGCAGGGGCGCAGAGAGGCTCCGGACGAGCCCCTCCAGCGCCGGGGAGGGGGGCGAGTCCCCGCGCCTGTGCGGCGGCGCCGCCCCGCCCCGCCCGAGCGCCCCCGGGCCGCACGGGGCGCCGGCAGTTCGTGGCCCCGCGCGACCGGGCCGGGGGCAGGAGGCCCGCGAGGCGCGCGCGCCGCCGGCCGCACCAGTGCCAGTTGTTCACGTTGGTGCCGTCCTCCCGCTCCTCCACGATCCAGCGCGGGTCTCCCTGGCCCCACTTGGCCATGGCTGCGCGGGCGCGGAACAAGGAAGGGCCGTGGCCACGGCGTTTCCGGCCTGCGAGCCCGGGAGCGGCGCGTTCCCAGCGCCCAGAAAGTGCCAGAAGTCCCCGCCCCCGGCCCGCCCCGCTCGCTCGGCCGCGCAGCGCCAGGAGGGGCCGCGGCCGGGGCCGCGGGGCGGGGCCGGCGGGGAGGGGACGGAGACGGGGAGGAGGAGCATGGGGGCCGGCTGCGCGCCTCTCCAGTACGGCCCGGCCACCCGCAAGGGTTCGTTACTGTCGCTGCAGTGACTGTTTCGGATGCCGGGAAGCAGGGCGGCGAGTGAGGGCCGCCCGAGGGCTGCACGGGCCGTGCACGCAGGGAGCGGCTTGGCCTCTGGCGGCGCGGTTGTCCTCAGTGAACCTGGCGCTCGGGGCCGCGACCTGGCACAGCCAGGCCTCTGAGGCCGGCGCGCCCGCGTGCCACGCGCTCTCCGCCGTGCGCGCTCCCTGCACGCCGCGGTGGGTTTTGTCCCCGAGATCTGCGGAGTTGGCGCACTGCGGCCCTCCCGTGGTCGCCGCGTCCCTGACTTTTCCAGCACGAGGTCGAGGAGCGCGAGTTACCAAGGCCCCCGGACAGTTCAGGAATATTTGTGTTTGATTCATGCAGTGGTCCTGTAGAGATAACGAAAGAATGTGATTGCAAGCTTCATGCATGTCACAGTAATGAAGTGGCCCTTGATGATTCCTTCCATGAGTTTTCGGCTTCTAGGAAATCTTTCCAACAACCATTTGGAAAATGGTACTGATGTGCACATGGATATTTATTCAGTAGAAGAAATGGGTTGGAGTCAGACCATGGCAGGGTGGAAAAACCTGGCTCTTCCCTGGGCTGACGTGCCCTGTGCCCGTGGTCTGTGCTCATCTATGAAATAAACTAACAGGCGGGGGACATTTTCTCCATTTGCATACTGGAGCTACCTTCCAACATTATATATAAACAGACGGCTTCAAATTGTTTTGACCCCAAAACAAAATGACATTTTGATTTCACCTTTCACACTTTGCTTCACCAAAGGATGGGCAACTAATACAGGTACCCGAGAACTCTAATGGCAACTAGTGGGCACCATTTTCTTGTGGATTGGCTGTTCACCTTTTATCCAATTCATAAAGAATATTACTGATAGGGCCGGGCGAGGTGGCTCACACCTGTAATCCTAGCACTCTGGGAGCCCGAGGCAGGCTGATCGTTTGAACTCAGGAGTTCCAGACTGGCCTGAGCAAGAGCAAGACCCGTCTCTACTAAAAATAGGAAGAAATTAGCTAGACAACTAAAAGTATGTATATAAAAAATTAGCTGGCCATGGTGGCGCATGCCTGTAGTCCCAGCTACTCGGGAGGCAAAGGCAGGAGGATCACTTGAGCCCAGGAGATTGAGGTTGCTGTGAGCTAGGCTGACGCCACGGCACTCACTCTAGCCTGGGTAACAGAGTGAGACGCTGTCTCAAAAAAATTTAAAAAAAAAGTTTTTGAATAATAGTCTAATTTGTCAACCTTTTCCCTTTTGGCTTTGGGTACTGTGTCCTGCTTTGGGTGGGTCATTTGAAGAAAGTCCCCGGGTCAACAGCTAACTAAAGAGATAAGTGGCAAGTTTCATTCCACCTTTGCAAGATAAATAACAATGGGTGTGGAGAAAAAATTGCTCGACTTTTCTCTGGAGCCATAGCTTGGGAGACAGAAACAGGGAGTCCTACAGCTTCACTGCTCACTGGGCATTGTCAACGGAAAAAAAGCCAAACTCTGTAAAATAATTTTAAAGAGATTTATTCTGAGCCAAATTTGAGGACCATGACCTGAAGCCACTAACAAGAGGCCTTGGGCAAGTGGACTCGTAGTGACTGGGTTACAGTTTAGTTTTTATATGTTTAAGGATGGGGGCAGGGGGGTGTTACAGGTAAAGGCATCAATCAATGCGTGGGAGGCATACATTGGTTTGACCCAAAAAGGCAGGACATCTTGAAGAGGGGAGGCTTACAGGTTATAGGTGGGTTTAAAGATTCTTTGGATTGTAATTGGTTAAAGACATGAAGCTTTGTCTAAAGGCTTGGAAATGTTCTAACATAAGGAGCTGTTCTCAGAGACAAGCCACCAGATACAGATTTGTTGTGTAAATTGAGGACCTGCAGGTTTGTCATGCATACCCTTAGGCCTGTTAATGGGTTACAAAGGAAGTCCTCAAGAAGGGAGGGGGGCATGATGAGGCATGTTTGACCTCCCTCCTCCTGGCAGACAATTTAGTTTTAGGATATTCATTTGGCCATAAGGGGGTCCATTCAGTCAGCTGGGGGAGGGGGGGAGTGGTGAGCCTTACATTTTTATTTTACTTCACAACATCTTCGGCTGAATCTCTGGCCAACACTTCAAATTCAATAGAGCTGGAAAAAAAAAAAAAAAAAGAAACCCACCTACTCTTTTTGCCCAAACTAGTCACTTCTCTGACTTTTTTGACAGTCTCTCTAGTATCCAAACTCAGGAGCCATCTTTGCATCCTCCTCTTGTTCTTCCCACATCTAACCAGGAATTAATGTTCTTCACTCTTCATATTCTCATTACATTGTCAACCTCCTCTTCCCAAACCACATCCTCCAAATCTGAACTGTCACTACAGCCACCTCCATTTACCTCCTAGTTGCTACTTTCCAATAACCTAATGCTGGAGAGACATCCGCATAGATTCCCTCCATCGCTGCCTTAGTGTGTTTATTATAGTGTTACTCAAAAAATATGTAGAAACGTAAAGCTGGATTATCAACTCCTTATCCTCTGAGCTTTCATTCAACTCTAAAACAAAAACAAATTTACAAATCCAATACAAACAAAAGCCCAGAACCAATAAAATCCCAATTAACATTTAATGTCAGATGCTATTCTGGTGACTGTACTGCTATTCACATTAGTGACACAGATGGCTTCCCGGTATTCCATGTGCCTGTACTGTTGTAGGTACTAATGGCCACTTTCCCCACCATTTTCTTCTATTAGAATTTCTATAAAACCTTGGTTAGTACAGTCACCAGGAAATTTACATAGATGGACCATTTAGGCATTAATTCCTCTTCTATTCTTGTCTGATCGGCTTGTGACAAAGCAACCTGGTTCCATAAACACAGATGCAGATAGGAGCAATGGAACCATGAAATCATACGGAAAGACACAGCTATCAATGGCTACTTAGATAAGTCTGAACTTTATCGTAGACTAATATCTTAAATATTCATAGTGGCATTATTCATAACAACCAAAAGGTGGAAGAAACCCAAGTGTCCATCAGTGGATGAAGGGATAAATAAATACAATGTGGTATAAACATACAAATGGAATATTATTCAGACTTAAAAAGGAAGGAAAATTCTAACACATGGATGAACCTTGAGGACATTATGCTAAGTGAAACAAGACAGCCACAAAAGGACACGTAAGTATGATTCCACTTATATGAGGTATCTAAAGTAGTCAACTTCACAGAGACAAAGTAGAATGTGGTTGCCCAGGACTTGAGGAGGAGGAATAGGGGAATTAGTGTTAGGATACAGTTTGAGTTTTACAAGATAAAAAGGGTTCTGTGGATAGATGGTGGTGATGGTTGTACAACATTGTTAATGTACTTAACACTATTGAACGGTACAATTAAAAATGCTTATAATGGTAAGTTTTATGTTGTGTGTTTTACCACAATTAAACATTTTAAAAATGTAATATCAAGTGTTAAGACCAAAATTTTTAAATGCTTATAGAGAACTCATGGACTCTGAATGAATATTCCGACAGGCACCTTTCCCACAGTCCACACTGCTTTGATCCATTCTCCAGCCTACACCCCCAGCCTAGGATTCTAAAAGAACCTCACTCTGACTTCTCATACACATCACTGTTACCTCTCAACTCTCCTCCACACCAACCTTCAACTCCAGCTAACTGGTGTCCACGGATCTTGACATACGTCCTCGTCTCTTTGCCTTGGCTCATGTCTCTCATTTGCTTTTATCGTCTAATCTTTCCATTTGACTAAGTCATCTTTTCTTCCTCATAGTAGGATGGTCCCAGCCCGCAGGGACTTCCCCCATATCAGAGGACATCAATTTGCCCTGTTTGACATTAGTCACACATTCTAAATTATTTCATCACTTATCCTCCCAATCATTCAATAAACATTCATGTAACATATGCTATACACATGACAACATGCTAAGCCCTTGAATTAAATGCTACATTTTCTGCTTTTTGTCTCTTTCATATCCCTTTGCACATTTCACAAATGTTTATTATAGTCATGATGAAGATGTCATACCAGCCTGTTCTGTCATATTCCATATATGAACAGCAAATTTTAAACCACTGAAATCAAGAACAGTATAATATCAGGACTTGCCTAAAGTAACAAGATGTTTTGTTGGGAGTAGTGTGTTTTTTGTATCAAACTTAAAATGCAATTGTCAGTACAAGAAAGGTTTCAAGACTGACTTCAATGGGGATTATGTAGGAGAAGACTCTAGCCTTGGTTACTGGAAGGTTCCATGACAATAGTTGTAATGTCATTTGGTCATGAATGCCTGTGATCAGAGAAAGCATCCAGAACACATAATGTTTCATTAGTCTACCCCCTTTAAGATAGACAAATGGCCAATAAACATATGAAAAATGCTCAACATACTAATCATGAGGAAAATGCAAATTAAAACCCAATGCAATATCACCTTACTCCTATTAGAATGGCTTTTATTAAAAAGTTCAAAAACAATAGATGTTGGTGTGGATGCAGAGAGAAAGAAACGCTTATATACTGTTGGTGGGACTGCAAATTAGTACAACCTCTATGAAAAACAGTATGGAGATTTCTCAAAGATCTAAAAATAGATGTACCATTTGATCCAACAATCCCACTACTAGGTATCTACCCAAAGGAAAAGAAGTCATTTTATCAAAAAGACACCTGCACCTGAATGTTTATTGCAGCATAATTCACAATTGCAAAGATCTGGAATCAACCCCAGTGCCCGCCAATTTATGAGTGCATTAACAAAATGGGGTATATGTATACCATGGAGTACCACTCAGCCATAAAAAACGATGAATTCATGCCTTTTACAGCAATTTGGAAGGAACTGGAGACCATTATACTAAGCAAAGTATCTCAAGAATGGAAAAACAAACAGCACATGTACTCTCTAACAAATTGGAACTAACTGATGGGCACACGAGCACAAAGGAAAGTAAAAGTCATTGAAAATCAAGCATGGGGCAGGGGATAGGAGGAGAAGGACAGAAACCTAACTGGTACAATGAACACTATTTGGGTGATGGGAACACTTATAGCCTTGATTCAACCCATGTAACCAAAACATTTTTATATCCTTAATTTTTTGGGAAAAAGTTATCCAGAGAGGGCAATGAGGAATCACTTATTTTCTCCAATTTTAAATGTATTAAAATATTGATAGAATACATTAAAAAATCCCCCCTGAATATGATTTACCTGATAGACATGTGCACAAACACAAATAACTTTATTCACATGTTAGAACAGTGTTTGAGTAGACAGAGTTTTAAGGATACTTAATACAATCAATTTCTTGAACTCATTTGATTTTTAAAAAACTATATTCAAGCTCTGAGTATTTTACTTACAGAATTTTGCATGTGACTCACTTCTTTCTAGACAAAGGTAAAATACTATCTGTATTTGCTTAATTCCCCATTATTTTGCTGTTTCAACATGATTTTGTACCCTCAGTCATTTCAATGTTAGTCAAAGGTTACACTTTCTTTCACTCTTAGCTTTTTTTGAGCTTCATTTTCTCTCTTTATGTTCTCTGGTGTAGCTTCGAGGTGTAGGGTATTCATTCCCAAGATCCACGACAATTACCTCCCTAGAAAATGTCACTCCTTTTAAAGGTCTTTTTTGGCTTTCAGTAGTTGAATGAGACCTACTGAGAGGTGTGGTTGTTTTCCGCAAATTGCCATTCTGTAAGAGAATGGGACAAACATCACATCATGAACATAGCAAGCTCTGCTTTTAAAAATATAGGCTATGCTATTATCAGAGTGGTCCTGGGGCATTAAAAGAAATACACACACACACACATATATATACTACATGTACATTGTTAATAAGAAATAGAAAAAGTATTTCTAAATGATTTAGGAAAGTGGTGATAATCCACCACGATCACATTTTCATATTTCTCTGCTTATTAAAAGCACACATTGACGTATTCAAATAACGTTTGGTAACGTGTTATTTTCCCTACGAAATGGTCAAACCTAAAAGCCATCTGGACCTCTCTGTCATGGACTGGGCATGGTTGTGTGGTGGGAGGGCATGTGAGCTGTTCTTATCAGGGAGCTTGAAAAGGCCCTGGCCACATTGTGTGCTTATGCAGAAGGAGCCTGGAACTAGCACAGGGACATGGTTTGGTTCTGAGCCAAACTGGTTCAGGCCACACTGGAGATGTAAACAATTCATCTTATTTTCTTGTTGGTATTAGGAGAGGGTTGGACCCCTATATAATCTCTTACAGCTCTAAGATTCTAGGAGTCTGACAAAAATAAACTGAAGAGGAATTAATAATAAAAACATAAATGGAACAATGAAGATAAGCAAGTTTCTAGGCTTGGCATATATAAATGGTTTAATGACATGAATCAATAGGCTAAGAAGAATGGTTTAAGTGACTGTGGACACTGGACTCATTCTAGGAACAAATCTAAGTTACAGGCAACTCCATCCTTGTTATTATACCTAGCTGAGCAATTTACCTCCTTTTCAATCACTCTAACCTGCCCCTTGAGAGTGAAAAAACGCATCACCTCTTGATCATTTTCTTCAGCATTTTCAGCCTCCTCTTTTACTTGGTCTTCTTCTGCATCCTCATCCTGTCCACGTACTGAGGGTAGGGTCACCACTTCCTTACTGTGTCTCTGGACAAGAATGCCAGGCCTCACTGGCATGATTTGCATTATGTCCCTGGAAAATCAATCAGCAGGGTTTTAAAAATTCATGCATCTTGGTCACCAATATTACACACAAAAATGGCTTTCTACCACATCCTAAGAAAGAGACTTACTTTCCATTGTCTCCTAGATTATTCGTCTCCACATTGGCAGGTACACAGTCTACACCTCTGTTAGCATCTGTACAAGGAGGTTTTTCTACTTCATCATTTTTCTTGCCTTGGAAACTGAAAGCAAACAAGAAGAAAGAAAAAAAAATCAGAAAAGGAAGACTGGCTCTGATTTTAAGGTATGGCAAAATAAAAATTTATTTTATTTTACTTTATTTTTTACATTTGCCTTTTGATTACACTACTTTTATTTTTTTTTATTTCAGAATATTATGGGGGTACAAATGCTTTGGTCACATAAATTGCCTTTGCACCACCCAAGTCAAAGCTACAAGTGTGTCCATCCTCCAGACAGTGTACAGAGAATCCACCTCCCCGCTCCCGCACCCAATGAATGTCACTTTTAAACAGGAAATTAGCATTTCTAAAACCATGAAATGGAAAGAGTAGATAGCTAAGAGTAGATAACAATTATTAATTGTTCTATTTAAAATTGTTTAATATATTATTTCTAGATACATTTGTTAGTGTGACTTGAAATCTGATCCCAATTTATCAGCATGGATTTATACCATTTATATAAAAAAACCACCAATAAAATGAGGATGCAAATGAGGCAAATTAGAAGGATGGTGAAGAAGGTGATTGCTGTGGTTTCAAAGCTCATAGGGTTAGCTAGAAGACTTATCTACTGTCACAATCACAGATTGTCCAAATATTCTTTTCCAGCTCAGTTTGAATGTAGTTCTCTTGTTCTTTAAGTTTTCTAGAAACAGAGGAATAAAAGGCTGTTTTCCTTGTTGTTCTTTTGATCAGTTCAGCTTCATAAAAGATGTTCTGCTTGTTTCAGTGCAGTTGACTCACACTGGCTAATTTCTCTCCATAAATTTGGTGGGGGCTGAGGTGGCCGGAGGGGAGACTGAGCTGGGACACGTGTGATCACTCAGTTCACCTCCCCTCACCCCAAAAACTATCAAAATCCAGAGGAGAGAGGAATCGGAGCAGCTGGAGCTGAGCCCAGCTCCCCATTCTTCTCTCTTCAGTGACATCATAGAATCACGGAGCCCACAGCGCCAGCCCAGCCCAGCCTACCACCCGGGGGCAGGAGAACCACTGAACTCTCCTCAGGCTGTCACCTGTCCTCCCCTCTGACAGGTGCAAGGAGGAGGCCATATGACATTGTCTCTATTATTCTTTGAACAAGGACTTTCTTCCTACTTTCCAAACACCATCATTCCTTTCCTAACCCAAGCCTATTTCTTTTATTGCTTCTTTCACAGACCATGAACAATCAGTCCACTTCCTTCTTATAAAATCCCTCTCAATAGCCCCAAGGTCAAGAATCTACTTACTTGTTTTTTTTTTTTTTTTTACATTTTTACATAATTAAATTTTTAAACTTTTTAAATTTTTCTTTTTTTTTTTTTTTCAGCCACCAGATTTTGATTTTTAGGGTATCAACTTACTTCTTAATGGCATTCTCTCCAGGCTAAATAGCCCATGCCCTTCTAACCCTGCCTCACTAGGCCTACTTCCTGGAGACACAAGAGAATGGACAGCTCTAAAGGCCATGGCTGAGGAAGCCAGAATGGGACAAGACAGAGTGAAGATGGCCCTGGCCCAACCTAACTTCTGGTAAAAATGACTGATACCCATAACAAGGAGGGAGAGGGTGGAGCTAGATTTTCTGAGAAGAAAAGGAGAGTATAAAACAATATGGCAGCTGCTGACTACCACATCTAGAAAAGTCAGAGGTGAGCCCTGGGGCGGGGGGTGGGGGTGGTGGGTATCTTGGTCTGTTTTGTGCTGCTGTAACAGAATACCACAGATTGGGTAATTGATAAAGAACAAAAATTTATTTCTCACAGTTCTGGGGCCTGAGAAGTCCAAGATCAAGGCACCTGCAGATTAGGGCCTGGTCTCTCTGCTTCCAAGATGGCGCTCTGAATGCTGGTCCTCTGGAGAGGAGGCACGGTATGTCCTTACATGGCAAAAGAGCAGAATACAGTGGACCCACTCCCATGAGTTCTTTTTTATAATGGCATTGATCCATTGTGAGGGCAGAACTCTCAGGAACTAAATACCTCCCAAGGCCCCATCTCTCAACACTTGCATTGGAGATTCCAACACATGAATTCTGGAAGGGACACAGTCAAGCCATAGCAGGGGGTCTTTGGGCTGCAGTGACACTGGCTCTCCTCCAGAAGGGCAGGGAGTGTGGCTTTTTTATCTTTGGATGCTCCACCAAGTAAGGACCTGCACATTCCATAAATGTCAAATGAATGGGGGTGTGATGTGTGTAAGCACAAGTAGAGTTTGGTGGAGGGCTCAGGTCAAGGCTGATTTTGCAGAATATGTGAATGTCTGAGCCACTGCTGGCAGATTCGGCAGAATTCCTGGACAGTTCCTCCAGCCAAGGCTCCCAGACGAAGATTCAGAATCCCTCTCGAACTCCTCATTATTATTATACACACTGCCAGACAAGACTTGAAGAGCCCAAATCTGCTCGTGTGTCATGTATACATAAAAGCTTTTTCTGGGGAGATGGAAATATATCAATCTATGGTGGTTACAGAAGTAGAGATGGTCCCTGACTAATTCTTACAATTTTTCAACTTTATGATGGTGTGAAAGCAATACACATTCAGTAGAAACTGTACTTCAAATTTTGATCTTTTCCTGGGTTTAGTGATATGCTGTATAATACTCTCTCATGATGCTGAGCTGCAGCAGTGAGCTGCAGCTCCCTATCAGTCATGTGATCTCATGGGTAAACAACTGATACTTTACAGTGTACTGTAGTCAATGAATTACATGAGCTATTTAACACTTTATTATAAAATAGGCTTTGTGCAGGCCGGGCGCGGTGGCTCACGCCTGTAATCCTAGCTCTTGGGAGGCCGAGGCGGGCGGATTGCTCAAGGTCAGGAGTTCAAAACCAGCCTGACGCAAGATTCGAGACACCCGTCTCTACTATAAATAGAAAGAAATTAATTGGCCAACTGATATATATATTAAAAAAAATTAGCCGGGCATGGTGGTGCATGCCTGTAGTCCCAGCTACTCGGGCGGCTGAGGCAGAAGGATTGCTCGAGCCCAGGAGTTTGAGGTTGCTGTGAGCTAGGCTGACGCCACGGCACTCACTCTAGCTGTGACAACAAAGCGAGACTCTGTCTCAAAAAAAAAAAAAATAGGGCTTTGTGTTAGATGGTTTTGCCCACCTGTAGGCTAATGTAAGTGTGCTGAGCATGTTTAATGTAGGATAGGCTAAGGTATGATGTTTGATAGATTGGGGGTACTAAATGCATTTTGACTTACATTTTCAACTTAGAATGGATTTATCAGACATAATCCCATTGTAAGTCAAGGAGCATCTATGTATATAGTCATGTGTCCCATAATGATGTTTCCATTGACAACAGACTGCATATGTGACAATGGTTCTATAAGATTATAAAGCCATCCATATTTTTTCTTTTTTTTTTTTGAGACAGAGTCTCGCTTTGTTGCCCAGGCTAGAGACCCGTGGGGAGAGCCTAGCTCACAACAACCACAAACAACCGAGCTCAAGCGATCCTACTGCCTCAGCCTCCCAAGTAGCTGGGACTACAGGCATGCACCACCATGCCCGGCTAATTTTTTCTATATATATTAGTTGGCCAATTAGTTTCTTTCTATTTATAGTAGAGACGGGGTCTCACTCTTGCTCAGGTTGGTTTCGAACTCCTGAGCTCAAACGATCCTCCCGCCTTGGCCTCCCAGAGAGCTAGGATTACAGGCGTGAGCCAACACGCCTGGCTCATATTTTTTCTGTACCTTTTCTATGTTTAGATATGTTTAGATACACAAACACCATTGTGTTACAACTGCCTACAGTATTCAGTACAGTAATAATCTACACAGGTGTATAGCCTAGGAGCAACAGGCTATACCATATAGTCTAGGTAAGCAGTAGGTTACATAATCTAGGTTTGTATATTCTATGATGTTTGCATAATGACAAAATTGCCTAACCATCACATTTCTCAGGATGTGTCCCTGTCATTAATCAATGTACGGTGTATGTATAGCTATACCCATCAAACTGTGTATTTAAGTGCTTATACCCTCTGCTGTTTGGATATTATTACACCAATCAAGAGGAATCAAGAGGAAAAAAGGGCCCATCTCCATGCCTGAATTTCAGTGGGTAGTAAGAGTACTGCTGGACTAGAGGTCACTGATGCTAGCTGGCTCTGTCTCAAAAATTGTTTACTATACACATTCTAAGATTGGAGACCTATAACAAGGATATAGTAGTAGCACCACATGAGGGTTGATAAGACTGCATCATAAGGGCTTTCACTGAATGTAGCTTGGGGAATCAATACCTTAAATTTATATGTATAGTTAATATAATTCTGGAAAATGGAGACCAACTTTGGTCTCTAAATCACATTTTTAAAAAATTTTTTCTTTTTTTTTTCTTTCTTACTTTTTTCTTTTTTTAATTTTTATTTATTTATTTTTACCTTGGTATGAAATAGTTTGAATATCATAAATCACATTTTAAATGCTTGGTACTGTAAGCTCTGTGAGATTATAAGGCTGGCACTATCCTGATACCAAAGCCACTATAAGAAAAGAAAATTAAAGACCTATATCCTTTATGAATATTGATGCAAAAATCTTCAAAAAAGTACTAGCAAACTAAATTCAGCAGCACATTAAATGGATTATATACCATGACCAAGTGGGACTTATTACTGGAATGCAAGGATAGTTTAACATAAAAAATCAACCAATGGAATATACCACATTAATACAGTGAAGGCAAAAAACCACATGATCATCTCAACTGATGCAGAAAAAGCGTTTGACAAAATGTATCAACCTTTCGTGATAAAACCATTCAGCAAACAAGGAACAGAAGTAAACTACCTCAACACAATAAAGGCCATAAATGAAAGCCCCACAACTAACATTATATGCAATGTTGAGAAAATATTTGTTAATCACATACCTGAGAGTAGACTGATAGCCACAATACATAAATAACTACAACTCAACAACAGAAAACCCCAATTAAAAAAATGGGCAAAGGGTTTCAATAGGTATTTCTCCAAAGAAGATATACAAATGACCAATAAATACCTGAAAAAAATGTTCAATATCACTAATCATTAGGGAAGTACAAATCAAAACTACAATGTGATACCACTTCACACCTATTAGGAGGGTTATTATTTTAAAAAAGAAAGAAAGAAAGACAAAAACAAGTGTTGGTGAGGATGTGGAAAAACAAGAAACCCTGTGCAGGCTGGTGGGAATGTAAAAAAGTATAGTCATTGTAGAAAACAGTATGGCATTTCCTCAAAAAATTAAATATAGAATTGCTGCATGATGTAGCAATTCCACTTCTAGGTATATACACAAAAGAATTGAAAGCAGGGATTCAAACAGATATTTGTATTTGTATACCCATGTTCATAGCAGGATTACTCACACTAGCCAAAAGGTGGAAAAACCCAAATGTCCATTGATGGATGAATACCTAAAAGGTGGTATATAGATATACAATGGAATACTATTTAGCCTTAAAAATGAATGAAATTTTGATTCATATAACAGCATGGATGAACCTTGAAGACATTATGTTAAGCAAACTAAGTCAGAATCAAAAGGACACATATTGTAGGATTCTACTTACATGAAATCCCTGGAACAGTCACATTCATAGACACAGAAAGTAGAATAACGGTTACCAGGTCCTAAAGTGAGGAGGAAATGGGGAGTTAGTTTTTAATGGCTACAGAGTTTCAGTTTAGGATGATGAAAAAATTCTGAAGATGGATAGTGGTAATGAATGGTTGTACAGTAATGTGAATATACTTAATACCACAAACTACATGCTTAAAATGGTTAAAATGATAAATTTTTTGTTATATATATTTTATCACAATTTAAAAAAATTATTTTTGGAATGAGGAAAGGGAACTCACGTGTAAAGTGGCCATGTCCGTGGCAGGCATTGGAAAAGTAAAACTACCAGCATAAAGAAATCTTGTTTCAATCTCTGTCCATTTGTTTGGCTTAAGCTGGTTTAAGTGGAGTTTATGGATCTTGCAACCCAAGATTCCTGACCAACACAGCGTTGCAGCCAACATCACACTGCCTCCCTTTCTGAGCCCTTGACACAGAGGCATAGCACCCATTCATCATTTCCTGATCCTTCTTTCTAGGAATTGAATAGGTTCCTTCCAACCCGTGACGAGGAGTGAAATGAAATGGTGCCTTTTCTCTTCCATCAAATGAGTGCAGCTCTTTTCTGTACCTTGGCTAGCAAGGGTGCTTAGAGGTTCTATTTCAGGTTTTAGAAAGCTGAATGAAAGTCACTAAGAAACTCATCAGTGGACTGTGATATTTAACAGGGCACTTGGATTGAAATTTTTTTCCTTCTACATTAATGGTCCAAATCTGTCAGTTTTTACCTGAGGAAGAGAAAGGAAAAAAATGATATTAAACACCATGATAAATGGCTAACATTTCAGTACTATTTCCAAAGAAAACAAAGGTTTTTGTTGAGAAGCCTTTTATGATTTACAGTTAACCTTTCCATAAAGAAGGCATATATAAACCTCAGAAAGTCTACAGCTTGATGAGGTTCTTAATGTCCTGGCAATAAACAATCCATCAGCTTATTGTTTTTACAACAGAAAACACCACCATTTTTTTTTTTTTTTTAGACAGAGTCTCACTCTGTTGCCCAGGCTAGAGTGCTGTGGCGTCAGCCTCGCTCACAGCAACCTCGAACTCCTGGGCTCAAGAGGTAACTCCCGCCTCGGCCTCCCAAAGTGCTAGGATTACAGGCGTGAGCCACCACTCCTGGCCAACACCACCATTTTCAAGGGTGTGGACACTAAGACAGCAATTCTCCCAGTAAGGAGACGCTAATCCCCAAATGCCACCATTTAGCAGAAAAGCCTGCAAGCTAACTGCGAAAGATTTAGCAAATCCTTACACCTAATATCTATTCATCTGAGATTGAAATGTCTTTCAGAGAGAACATGTCAGAAACAGAGTACTATTAATATTCTGACCACCCAGAATCGGTAAAGACATTGCTGGCTCGGGCCGCACTAGCCACAATACCTATGCTCACACCCTTCCCCAAAGTACCTTGGTCCAGTGCTCTGCTACAGGTTTCATGAGGACAGAATTCGGAGTGGAGGATTCAGCCACTATTTGGCCTTCATTCCAGTGGTCCCATTCCACCCTTCAGATTTGAGGAGGACCTATCTGGGCTGCAGGCAAAGGAGAATGCTCTTGCCATGTACTTGGGCATATTGTTCCTTGACCCTATGCTACAAGGTTAGTGAAGATCAAATTTCAAAGACTATGAAACACAGATCAGTCTCTGATTCTACCTTCCTGAGATGTCTGGGAAACATACTAAAGCTGACCCAACTCATCCATTCCAGGAGACTTCCCAACCTTGCAATTCCATCCCAAGGAAGAAGCAATAGGCCATTCCAGCTCGGTTCCAAGGTGCAAGTTCCCCCCAGGGTGTGTACAGGCTGTGCCCTTTGCACATTACCTGGTTCCAAGCTCCCTCCCCATTTCCCAACCCCCTAGCAACTCACATCCCATAACAAGCAGTGGGACCACGACCAAGAGGCATAAAACACCTTTGGTGTTTTATTTTGGAAGCTCTAGCCTTAGAGGCTGAGAGCATGTCTCTGCCTGGGGGTGCTGTTGTTTGAGGTGAAGCTGGCTCCACCCCTGCTGTCTACTCAACAAGGTGGTGGCAGCGGGGTTTGTTCCTTTTTAATCATTTTGTTCAAACTATAAACTTTTTATTTCCTTCTAAACATAATTTCTGATCATTTTAATGTTATTGTGTGTGCTTATATATATATATTTTTCTTTTTCTTTTTTTAGAGATAGAGTCTGACTCTGTCGCCCAGGCTAGAGTGCAGTGACCATATCATAGCTCATTATAACCTTAAACTCATGGGTTCAAATGAGATGTCAGGTGGACGCCACCATGCCTGGCTAATTTTTGTATTTTTTGCTGTGTATGGCAGGGGTGTCTCACTATGTTGCCCAGGCTGGTCTCAAACTCTTAGCCTCAAGCAATCCTCCCACCTCAGCCTCCCAAAGTGCTAGGAATACAGGCGTGAGCCACCATGCCCAGCTCTATGTATCTTATTTTAATCTGTTTGTTTTTATTCTTTTTCCTCAACCTCTCTATGCACAGCCTTTAATCTTAATATTTTCTGAAAATGGTACCAGCAATTATCTAGCAAGGGCTTCTCTATGGTGAAGGATCAGGTTTTGTTTCCTCTCCCGATCCACTGAGGACCAATATTTTAGTAAAATACAAGAAAAATGGTCATACATTTAGATGCACAGCAATATAAAATTGTTATTTAAAAGGTTCTGGGTATTTACTTTCAATTTCTGTATTTTGTTGCAGACCAGTGACAATTTAGGGACCAGCATCAGTGCACAGATCACACTCAAGAGTAGTACTGATGGACCAAATCCCTCATTTATTTGTTTTAAATAACATTTTTTTATCACAGAAAATTTGGAAAAAATATAGAAAAAAGAAAATAAAATCTCTCATAATGCCATCACCCAGAGATAAAAAAATATGTGTTAAAATATCAGTATATGTCCTTTAAGTCTCTTTTCTATGCATATGCTTTTAATGGCTTTATTAAGATATAATTCACATACCATTACAATTCACCCATTTAAAGTACGAAGTTTAACAGATTTTTTTGTACATTCACAGGGTTGGGCAATAATTACTACAATCTAACCCTTTATAACATTTTTACGTCCCAAAACCCTTTACAACATTTTTATGTCCCAACATTTTTACGTCTTATCCACTGGTGGTCACTTCCTCTCTCTGTCTACTCCCCAGCCCCTGGCAATCATTCATTTATTTTCTGTCTCTATAGATTTGCCTACAGTCAACATTTCATATAAATGGAATCATAAAATATTAATATGTAGTGTTTTGTGTCTGGTTTCTTTCACTTAGCATGTTTTTAAGATTCATCCATGTTATAGCATGTAACAGTATTTCCTTCCTTTTTATTGCTAAATAATATTACATTTTATGAATATATCAAATTTTGTTCATCCATCTATCCATCAGCTTATGGACATTTGGGTTGTTTCCACTTTTTGGCTATTATGAATAATATTGTTATGAATATTCACATACATGTTTTTGCATAGTATGCTTTCATATCTCTTGGTATATATCTAAAAGTGGAATTTCTGGGTTATATGGTAACTTTACAGTTTAGCATTTTGAGGATATACATGTATTTTTATAATTTTTTAAAACTGGAACCCTTGTGTATATATTTTGTTAAATTTAACATTCTTATTATGAACATTTCCTAATGTTTCAGTAATCTTCAAAAAGATGATTGTTAATACCTATACATTTTTTCATTTTATAGAAGCATTGTAACTATTTTCTTATTGCTGGTCAACTTGCTACTTTTATAAACAGTATTGGATATATTTGTACATGAATATGTGAGCACAAGTCTGATATTAAAATATTAATCTTTTATTTTCAATAGCTCATTGGCTTTTGGCTCTTTATCTTTTATTTTATTTTATTTATTTATTTTTTAGACAGAGTCTCGCTTTGTTGCCCAGGCTAGAGTGAGTGCCGTGGCATCAGCCTAGCTCACAGCAACCTCAATCTCCTGGGCTCAAGCAATCCTACTGCCTCAGCCTCCCAAGTAGCTGGGACTACAGGCATGTGCCACCATGTCCGGCTAATGTTTTCTATATATATATATTAGTTGGCCAATTAGTTTCTTTCTATTTATAGTAGAGACGGGGTCTCGCTCTTGCTCAGGCTGGTTTTGAACTCCTGACCTCGAGCAATCCGCCTGCCTCGGCCTCCCAGAGTGCTAGGATAACAGGCGTGAGCCACCTCGCCTGGCCTATCTTTTATTTTAAATCTCATCCATTTTATTTCATTGTTCTTTGGCTTCAAATATCTTATGTTTTGATTATTTTTAACTTTTATTGTCTTTTTTTCCATTTTTTTTTTTAGTTGATTTCTGATTTCTTAGATTCACTCTCCTCCTAACTTTTATTAAGGCAAAAGCAATGTTCTGCTTTAGGTTTAGAAACTGTTAAAAACACTTATTTCTTTATAATCTATCTCAATAACTTGTAAAAAGGAAATAATAAATCCCATTCATCTGAAAAGCATAACAGCTATTCTGCATTTAGGGGGGGTTGGTGAGGAGGAAAAAAATCAGAAAAGAAAAAACATTCAATACTCACCAGCAAATTGGTATTAACTGAACAGCACCTAAGTGGTCACATAGGAACTACAGTAATAGGGTATTGGGCAGGTGGGAGGGTGGAGGGGGGTGGGTATATACATACATAATGAGTGAGATGTGCACCATCTGGGGGATGGTCATGATGGAGACTCAGACTTGTGGGGGGAGAGGGGGAAATGGGCATTTATTGAAACCTTAAAATCTGTACCCCCATAATATGCCGAAATAAAAAACAAAAAAACAAAAAAAAGAAAAAAACATTCATTGGTGATATGACTTAAATTTTAAGTGAAAATAGTAGAAACATATTTCATAAACAAACAATATTTCCCATTAAAACATGTTTTCTGACTCCAAACAATTTTCTCAACCTTAGATGTTAAAGTTTCTCTTGTAGATGTCAAAGTCTTTCTTAATAACTAGAGTCTTTATTACTCTTTATTGTATTAAAAGAAACCCCAGAATGACAAATTTGACATTTGAACAAGTCAGTTTTATTGGGAACTTGTTTAAACTTGATTAATCGAAGACTTTAAACTTTTCTGCTACTTTTCAAGTTCACAGTAAAGACATTCATAGCATATCACTGGTAACCTAATGCTCAAGGAGGTATTTTTCTCTCTGTATAAAATTTTGGTATCTAGTAACTTAAAAACAGAATTTAAAGTAAATTTTAGAACATTTTTAGTTTTACAGAAAATTGAGAAGACAGTACAGAGAGTAGTCCTATACCTCAGATCCAGTTACCCGTTACTAATATCTTACATTAGTATGGTACATTTGTTATGGTTAGCGAACCAATACTGATAAATTATTATTAACTAGAGTCCCTAGTTTACTTAAGTTCCCTTTATTTTCACCTAATCTCCATTTTCTGTTCCAGATCCCACATTATATTTAGTTGTCATGCCTCCCTAGGCTCCTCTTGGCTGTGACAGTTTCTCAAATTTCCTTGTTTTTGATGACCTTGATAGCTTTGTGGAATACTGATCAAGTACCTTGAAGGATGAACAACTACTGGAATTTTTTATTCCAAATTTCCCTGAAGTAAAGGAAGACATAAATTTCACACCTTTATTTCTCCATTACTGATTTACTCAAACACCTTCTTTGAGCATGGACTGGATTTAGTGAATTGCTTCTGATGGCTAAAATGTAGCAGAAGTAAGGACCTTTGAGTTCTGAGAGCAGGTCATAAAACACATTGTGGCTTTCTTTCTCTTTGCCTTTTTCTTGAGTCACTCGCTCTGGGAAAAGCCAGTCATATTGTGAGGACACTCAAGCAGTGGCTGGAACAGCCCACATGGTGAAGAACTAAGGCCTCCTTGCTTCCAACAGCCAGGGAGGAACTAAGGCTTCTTGCCTATAACCATGTGAGTAAGCCTGGAAGTGGATTCCTCCCCACTGAGTCTTCAGATTATCATAGACTAACATTTTGACTGCAACCTCAAGAGTGACCTGGAGCCAGAATTGGCAAGCTAAGCCACTGCTGAAATCCTGACCCACAGAAACTATGACATCATAAATGCTTACATTAAGCTGCTAAGTTCTGGAGTCATTTGTTATGCAGAAACAGATATCTGCTATAGCGTATATTGCATATATTTTTACTCTCTACATATTATGATGTTTTGATATCTTAAAATCCTTTCTGCCTGGGGAGACTGCCCATTCTGGAACTAGCCAATTCTTAGTGATAGCAAAAGGCTCAGCCTATAGCATCCCTGTGATCTTCAAACCAACCAATCCAAAGCTAAGTCCCCTCTATCTGGCCAGTACACCCCAGGAGACAACACTCCTCTGCCCCAAGCATCCTAGGGCCAAGTAGAACCCCAAATTATTCAAATTAGCTAATCCTAAAATGCTTATCCTGCCCTGCATTGCCTTTTCCCTGGAAATTCCAACAAAGGCCATGATCTAGCTTCTGCCTCAGTTCCTGCCCCTTCTGCCTCCAAACTGACTTGGCCCTAGGCAGCATGCAGTGCCTCCTGGTTCTAGGACCTGGTTATAGTAACTTGTATCCACCATAATAATATTATACAGAGTATTTCAGTGCCCTAAAAATCCTGTGCTGGGGACTTCTTTTGTTTTTTGAGACTGGGTCTTACTCTGTTGCCTGGGCTAGAGTGCAGTAGCATCATCTTAGCTCACTGCAACCTCAAACTCCTGGGCTCAAGCGATTTGCCTGCCTCAGCCTCCTAAGTAGCTGGGATTACAGGTGTGAACCACAATGCCTGGCTAATTTTTCTATTTTTTGTAGAGACTGGGTTTTACTCTTACTTAGGCTGATCTCAAACTCCTGGCCTTAAGCAATCCTCCCACCTTTGCCTCCCCAAGTGCTAGGATTATAGGCATGAGCTACTGTGCCTGGCCCTGAAATGAGTTTAAAACAATAAAAATGATTTTATTAGAATATTATTTTCCAGTGTTAAAACAAAAAGAAAGAATGTGAAAAGGCAACCCACAGACTGGTAGAAAAATATTTGCCACGCCAAATATTCTATAAAAACCAGCATACAGAGTATAGTTTAAAAACTCCTATAAAAATAAAAGGGAAAGACAAAATAGAAAAGAGGTACTTCTCAGAAGACAAAATATGAATGGGCAACAAATATAAGAAAAGAGGCTCACCTCACTAATAATCACAGACATGCAAAGTGAAAACACAGTGAGATATGGTATTTTATACCCACAAGATTGGCAATAATGAGAAGTCTATCAGTTCTAAGTACTGGAGAGAACATGCAGCAAAGGGAACTCTTCTACACTGTAGATGGGATTGTAAATGACTCTTAACACTTTAGAAAAACTCTTGTCATTCCAAGAAGACTGTTGTATGTGTAATAACATGTAAGAGAATATTCTTAGTAGTTCATAAAATAGTGTTTTAATCATAAAACAAATTTTTAACCCAAAAAACAGCAACCTGGAAATAAACCACATGTTTATCAAAATAGGAATAGGCAAATAAATTCTGGTATAATCACACAATGGAACACCATGTAGCCATGAAAATGAATATATTACAGCTACATGCATTAAGGCAGATGAATTATATAAACAAAGTTAAGAGAAAAAAAGCAGAAAAATAAATATACATAACATTTTTTATCAAGTTCAATTGAATCATAAACAGTAATATTTGGATGGTGAAATGATAAAAAACAGTGATTTAAAAAAATTCAGAATAATGGCTACTTCTGTGGGGAAAAAAATTGGAGACTGTAACAGAAGCCATTTGGGAGTTTCACTCATACTGGTAATGTAATGTTTCTTAAATTCAGCTGTGGATTCAAAGAGATAAACTTTATTATTATGTCTCCTAACTTGCATAAATATATTCTTTTTGTGAATAACATACCTAATTAAATTTTTAAAAATACTTTTAACTAAAGCAAGTAAGATGTTGGAAGAACATACACTTGTTAATAGTAGTTACCATCAGAAGGTGAAATTATGGGAGATTTTTCACTGTTTATAGTATACATTTCTAATTTTTTTTAAAGTTATAGTAATTTTAATTTATTTACTTACTTATTTTTGAGACAGGGTCTCACTCTGTCACCCAAACAGATCATAGCTCACTGTAACCTTGAACTCCTGGGCTCAAGCAATCCTCCTACCTCAGCCTCCAAGTAGCACCTGGCTGGTTTTTTATTTTTTTGTGGGGGGAGTGTTGGAGGGGTGGTATCCCTATGTTGCTCAGGCGGTCTTGAACTTCTGACTTCAAGTAATCCTCCTGCCTCAGCCCCCAAAATGCTGAAATTACAGGAATGAGCCACCTCGCCCAGCCTGCACTGGAGACTGTTACAGTCTCTAATTTTTTCCCCCACAGAAGTAGCCATTATTATGAATTTTTTTAAATCATTGTCTTTTATCTTTTTTTTTTTTTTGAGACAGTCTCACTTGGTCTCCCAGGCTAGATCACAGTGGCGTTATCATAGCTCACTGCAACCTCAAACTTCCAGGCTCAAGGGATCCCTCCACCTTGGTCTCCTGAGTAGTTGGGACTATAGGCACACAACACCACACCCAGCTAATTTTTAAAATTTTTTTTGTAAAGACAGGAGTCTCACTATGTTGCCCAGGCTTGTCTTGAACGCCTGTGCTCTAGTGATCCTCCCTCCTCGGCCTCACAAAGTGCTAGGATTATGGGTGTGAGCCACCATGCCTCATCTATTTATTTTTGTTTTTAATGAAAAACATTCACATGATTTTAAAAGCAATTTATTATAATGAGGTATACATTAGGAAGTTTCTCCTCTCATCTCTGTCCTCCCTTCCAAACCATAGGAAACCATGATTATTATTTTCTTGTGAATATTTCCAGAATTTAGTGGAAACATGGATCACATATTTTAATTTCTTCTTTTCTACACAAAAGGCATACCTTACACCTTTTTTCACTTAGTAAGATAACCTGGATAATCTTTCCACATCAGTAGGTAGGTAATGTCCTCATTCTTTTTCATAGCTGCATAATGCTCCATTGTGCATATGTATTAATACCATTGGTTTCTTTCTCTTTTTCTTTTTTTAGGCTAGTCAAGTGAAGCAGCGGGATTGGAGAATCAAAAGAATCTGTAACTGGTTGTGATCAATTAGTTGTAAACACCACTGCACTCGGACCAGCCCCATTGTTTTTAATATCAGTCCTCATGGTTTCGAATCTTTTGCTCTTACAATCAATGACCTCACGCATACATTTCATATGTAAGCAAGTGTATCTGTAGGAAAGATTTCCAAAAGTGGGATTTTTTGAATCAAAATGGAAATGCAATGCGGTTTTTACAACCACTGAGAATGGCTACATTCTGCTGTTCCACCAGCACTGTAACACGCCCGTTTCCCTTACATCCTCCTTTACAGAATATATTGCCAAACGTTCCAATATTTGCCAATGTGGTGATTTGCATTTTTCTATTGAAAACTGAAGCAAAGCATCTTTTCATATGTTTAAGGTCTATTTGTAATTATTTTTTCGTGAACTCTGTGTTTCTTTTGCCTATTTTTCTATTGGATGGCTGGTTGTTAGAACTTTTATAACGAATATTTAACATATTTATGTTTGGAAAAAAATTATCCAAAGAAAAAAGGTGATAAAAGCTGTACTAGCCTTTCTTCCACGAGTGTGGTACCCAATCAAAGAGGGATCCAAACAGGTCCAGAACAACTTCAACTGGCTTCCAGCCCCGACAGAGGAAGCTTGGAAAAGCGGGGCCTGCCCGCCTACCCTCAGCGTGCGCATGCTCGCCTGATTCCCCGCGGAAAGTTGGTGTGCGCATGCTCCAAAAGCCCGAGACCCCTGATTCCTAACGGAAAATCTGTTACGCATGCGTAGAAACTACCCTCCCTGGAGACTTTCCTCAAAGGACTGAAGGTAGCTTGGGTTTCACGAAGCTGGCTCTGTAAGCTCCGACAGCCAAGGCTTTTGTTGTCGGAAAAGTCCAGGGGCACCATATATTCTATGAAGAGGGAATTCCAGGTCGTCAGCGACAAGGCGTCTTCCTGTGGCCGTCAAACAAAACACCGCGTTACATCAGCGGGTGGTAGTCACCTGGCCCTCTCCAGACGGTGTCTACAGCGAGCTTTATTTTTTTTTTAAATAATGTTTTGTATTGAAGAGGAAATTGATTAAAAAGGGTTTTCAAGCATGTCAGGAGTTTAATAATAAACTACATATTTTAAAATATTCCATAGGGTGCGCTAGAGAGAGGTCTCTCTAGCCTGAGAAAAACCACCTGTCACTCGCGGAGAAAAAGGTGCGCTGACTTTCCCTGCTTGATGCAGAGTGGAGAATTAGACCTTACAGGAAGATATCACCGATTCCGAAAAGAATGCTGCACCCGTCACGTTACTGCATTTTGTGAGACTTTTTGAAAGCTCCAGAAACAGTGCCCACGGTTTTCAAGCTGAAGGCTGGAGAAAGGTGGCCCTAGATCCCTGAGGACTGTTTTCCCCAACAAGGAGCTATAATGTGTATTTGAGCACTTGGTAATGAAGGCTAGGCTTAACGCTTCAGGTGGTTTCCTTGCGCTTTTAGCGCCACCTCGTGGTAGTACTCTGGTGTCGGAATCTATGCTTTCCTGATTTTTTTTTTAATGCTCCTGAACACATTTCTGGCTGTTGTTTACAATATCGGTCGTTTAAATATTATCATGTCACATAGCAGTATGGTTTTCAACCCATCTGCACAATAGAGTCACTTTGTGACCTTTAAAAAATACCGACACTAGGTCCAGCTCCTGAGCCACTGTCAGAGAGGCAGTAATAGTGATTTGTTGGACAAAGCTAGACGTCATTTAAAATTATGAGTTCCATTGCTTACTGGAAAGAGTCAGCTTTCTTCCCTGAGTATATGACTACATACACTCATGCTATCATATGACTATTTATGGCTAAAAATGAATACATTTGGTAGATTTCTTTAAGTAATTGTTTCTGATGTAAAATAATTCTGACAGTTGCCTACATTTCTCTTATTTTTTTTTAATTTGGGAAAATACATTAACCACAGAAAAGTGTAGAGTCTAAGACAAGCAACAGCTGAACCCACCACTCAAAATTGACTAATGTGAGCATTGTCATGTGTGCTTCAGATTATTTTTATATATGTGAGGAATAAAATATTTCTAATAGAGCATAAGTGCTGAACAGGAAGACCAATAAAGCAATGAGAACGTTAGTCTGCTAAACTGTGGCAATGTTGTGAGTACAATACAACTCAGAGAGGAAAGAGATCAACAGATTCATGAAGGAGGTGAGATTTGAGCAGGGACCTGAGCAAGGGAAAAATGTTACTAGGCAGCAAAATGAAAGGACAACAATCTAGGTAGAGGAATAACATGAGCCAAGGTCAAAAATAGGAATGAGCACAATAGAGTTATTGCTAAAAGTCTTTCATATGGTCTAATAATAATAGCTAACATTTTTGAGCACTTACTATATGTCAGACACTATTCCAAGTGCTTTACATGCATGTGTTGACCCATTTAATACAAGAATACTGTCATCAAGAACATGTTGCTCAAATAATTTTTTTCTGTTGCCCTTAGACAAATTGCCATCTCTGAGTCTCAATCTCTCCTTTTGTAAAAAAAGCAGATAATACTGTGCTGTGCACAATGGATATATGCATATGGGCAAACACAAGAAGAGACTGAACAAAACTGATGTAGCCATTAGGATAAATTGGTGAGATTATAGGTTATATTTCTATTACTCAAATGCATTTTAATATAATATCGGCTTTTTTGAAAGTTTTGTTGAGATATAAATTTTTTGAAAGTTTTGTTGAGGTGACATACCATTACAATTCACCTATTTAAATGGTACAAGCCAATGGTCTTAAGTATATTTCCAGAGTTGTACAACATCACCACAATCAATTTTGAATATTTTCATCACCTCAAAGAGAAATACTGTAACCTTTATCAATCATTCCAGCCACCCCCATCTTTCTCCCTTCTGCCCTAAACAACCACTAATAATCTGTCTCTCTATATTTGCCTATTCTGGACATTTCATAAAAATAGAACAATATGTGACTTTTTGTGACTGGTTTCTTTCACTTAGCATAATGTTTTCAAGGTGCATCCATATTGTAGCATGTATCTACTTCATTCCTTTTTTTATACTGATTTTTAAAATTTTCTTTTATAAATTTTTCTTTTATATTGATTTTTAAAAATTTTTATTCCAAAATATTAAGGGGTACAAATGTTTTTGTTACATGGATACATTTTATAGTGCTTAAGTCAGGGCCTTTTGTGTGCCCATCACCCAAATGGTGTTCATAGTGTTCACTGTACCCAGTAGGTAGGTTTTTACCCCTCTCCTTCTCCCCCCTCCCCACTTCTTGATTTCCTATGATCTTTACATCTTTTTGTGCCTGTGTGTGCCCATTGATTAGCTCCCAATTATTAGATAGTACATGTGGTATCTGTTTTTCCATTCCTGAGATACTTCACTTAGGATAATGATCTCCACTTCCATCCAAGTTGCTGCAAAAGACATTATTTCATTCCCTTTTATGGCTGAGTAGTACTCTGTGGTGTAATATTTTCTTTATCCATTCATGAATTGATGGGCACTTAGGTTGATTCCACATCTTTGTGATTGTGAATTGTGCTGCAATAAACATTCCAGTACAGGTGTCTTTTTAATGAAATAACTTCTTTTCCTTTGGGTGGATACCCAGTAGTGGGATTGTTGGGTCAAATGCTAAGTCTACATCTATTTCTTTCAGGAATCTCCATACTGATTTCCACAGAGGTTGTACTAATTTGCAGTACCACCAATAGTGTATAAGCATTTCTTTCTCCCTGCATCCTCACTAACATCGTTTTTTGACTTTTTAATAAAGGCCATTCTGACAGGGGTCAGGTGATATGTCACCGTAGTTTTAACTTGCATTTCCCTGATGATTAGTGATGTTGAGCATTTCTTCATGTTTCTTGGCCATTTGCCTATCTTCTTTTGGAAAACATTCCTTTTTGAATTCAAGGTGAAGCTCACCTTGAATAACATAAAATTAACTGTTGTAAAGTATACAATTCAGTGGCATTTAGTACATTCATAGTGTTGTGCAACCACAACCTCCATCAAGCTCAAAAACATTTTCACAAACCTAAACAAAAACCCACATCCATTAAGCAGTCACTCACCATTCTCCTCTCTCCAGTCCCTACCAATTCATAATCTGCTTTCTGTTGCTATGGATTTTCCTCTTCGGGATTGTTCATATAAATAGTCATACACCATGTGACCTTTTGGCTCTGGCCTCATTCATTCAACATAATATTTTCAAGGTTCATCCATATTGTAGCATGTATCAATACTTAATTCATTTTTTTTTTTTTTTTTTTTTTGAGACAGAGTCTCGCTTTGATGCCCAGACTAGAGTGAGTGCCATGGCGTCAGCCTAGCTCACAGCAACCTCAAACTCCTGGGCTCAAGTGATCCTTCTGTCTCAGCCTCCCAAGTAGCTGGGACTACAGGCATGTGCCACAATGCCCGGCTAATTTTTTCTATATATATTAGTTGGCCAATTAGTTTCTTTCTATTTATAGTAGAGACGGGGTCTCGCTCTTGCTCAGGCTGGTTTCGAACTCCCGACCTCGAGCAATCCGCCCGCCTTGGCCTCCCAGAGAGCTAGGATTACAGGCGTGAGCCACCGCGCCCGGCCCTTAATTCATTTTTATAACTGATTGATATTCTATTTTATGGATATACCACATTTTGTTTATCCATTTTCAGTCAATGGATATTCGGGTTGTTTCCACATTTTGACTATTGTGAATAGTGATACTATGTCATTTGTGTACAAGTATTTGTTTCAGTACCTGTTCTCAATTCTTGGTACATATACCTCGGTGATATGGTAACTCTATGTTTAACTTTTTTGAAGAACTGTCAAACTGCTTTTCAAAATGGCTGCATAATTTTACATGCCCCTTGGCTGTGTATAAGGGTTCCAATTTCTCCACATCCTTGGCTGTTGTGTGGCTTTCTACTGAGAGTGAAGTGGTATCTCATTGTGGGTTTTTTTTTTTTTTTTTTTTGAGACAGAGTCTTGCTTTGTTGCCCAGGCTAGAGTGAGTGCCGTGGCGGCAGCCTCGCTCACAGCAACCTCAATCTCCTGGGCTCGAGTGATCCTTCTGCCTCAGCCTCCGAAGTAGCTGGGACTACAGGCATGCGCCACCATGCCCGGCTAGTTTTTTCTATATATATTAGTTGGCCAATTAATTTCTTTCTATTTATAGTAGAGAAGGGGTCTCGCTCTTGCTCAGGCTGGTCTCGAACTCCTGACCTCAAGCAATCCGCCTGCCTCAGCCTCCCAGAGTGCTAGGATTACAGGCGTGAGCCACCGCACCCAGCCCTTCATTGTGGTTTTGATTTGCATTTCCCTGATGGCTAATGATGTTGAGCATCTTTTTAAGCGCTTATCGGTCATTCGCATATCTTCTTTGGAAAAATGTCTATTCAAATCCTTTACCATTTTATTTTATTATTATTATTTTTGAGACAGAGTCTCACTCCATTGCCTGGGCTAGAGTGCCGTGGCGTCAGCCTAGCTCACAGCAAACTTGAGCAATCCTTCTGCCTCAACCTCCCGAGTAATTGGGACTACAGGCAAGCACCAACATGCCTGGCTAAGTTTTTCTATTTTTGGTAGAGACTGGAGTCTCGCTCTTGCTCAGGCTGCTCTCCAATTCCTGAGCTCAAAGGATCCACCCGCCTCGGCCTCCCAGAGTGCTAGGATTACAGGTATGAGCCACCTCGTCAGGCCCCTTTATCATTTTAAAAATTAGGTTGTCTTTTTAATGTTGAGTTGTAAGCATTCTTTATATATTCTGGATACAATATTCCTTATCAGATATATAATTTCTACACATTTTCTCACATGTAGGCTATCTTTTCACTTTTTTGATAAGGTCCTTTGAAGCACAAAAGTTTTTAATTTTGGCGTCCAATTTATTTTTTTACTGTTTGCACTTTTAGTGTCATATCTATGAATTCATTGCCAAATCCAAGGTCATGAAGATTTACTCGTTTTCTTAAAACAGTTTTACAGTTTTGACTCCTACGTTTAGATCTTTAATCCATTTTGAGTCAATTTTTGTATATTGTGTGAGATAAGGATCCAACTTGATTCTTTTGCATGAGCCTATTCAGTTATCCTAGCACTGTTTGTAGAAGAAACTATTCTTTTCCCATTGAATGGTCTGGACACCCTTGATGAAAATCATTTGACCATAGATATGTGGGTTTATTTCTGGACCCAAATTCTGTTCCATTGATCTGTATGTCTATGCTTATGCCAGTACTATTACTACACTGTCTTGATTATTGTAGTTTTGTAGTAAGATTGGAAATTGGAAAGGGTGAATCCTCTAACTTTGTTGTTTTTCAAAGTTGTTTTGGCTATTCTAGATCTCTTGAGTTTCCATATGAATTTTAGGATCAGCTTGTTAATTTTATACAAGGAAGCCAGATGGTGTTCTAAGAGAGATTGTGGTGAATCTGTAGAAGGAATATTATCATCTTAACAATATTAAATCTGATCCATGATCATAGGATGTTCTTCCATTTATTTAGATCTTTTAAAATTTTTTCAATATTTTGTTTGAATATGTTTTTAGAATAGGTTTTTCTTTTGTTAAATTATTCTTAAGTATTTTATTTTTTGATGTTACTGTAAATGAGATTGTTTTTTAAATTATACTTTTAATTTTCCTTTTTTTCTATAGATTTTATCTTTATTTTTTGTAGAGGCAGGGTCTCCCTGTGTCTCCCACGTTGGTCTCGAACTTCGGGTCTCAAGATATCCTCCCAACTCGGCCTCTCAAAGTGCTAGGATTACAGGCGTGAGCCACCACATCTGGCTTTGGATTGTTGTTAAAGTATAGAAATAAATTTATTTATATATATTGATCTTATATTCTGAAACTATTTGTTCTAATAGTTTTTTAGTGGATTTATAGAATTTTATACATATACAAGGTCATATCATCTCTAAATAAATGTAATTTTACTTCTTTTCCATCTAGATGCATCATATGACATTTTCTGGCCTATTTTCCTGGCTAGAACCTCTAGTACAATGTTGAATAGAAATATTGAGAGTGGACATCTTTCTAATCTTAGTGGGAAAGCATCCAGCCCTTCATTATTGTTAGCTGTAGGTTTTTCATAGATGCTCTTTATCAGATTGAGAAAGTTCCTTTCTACTTCTACTTTGTTGAGTATTTTTTATTATGAAAGAATGTTGGGTTTTGTCAATTGCTTTTTCTGAATCTATTGAGATAACTGTGAAACTTTAAAAAAATATTGACTAATTCTTTTCTTTTTCTTTCTTTTCACTTTGTTGCCCAGGCTAGAGTGAGTGCTGTGGCATCAGCCTAGCTCACAGCAACCTCAAACTCCTGGGTTCAAGCAATCCTTCTGCCTCAGCCTCCCAAGTAGCTGGGACTACAGGCATGCGCCACCATGCCCGGCTAATTTTTTCTATATATATTAGTTAGCCAATTAATTTCTATCTATTTATAGTAGAGATGGGGTCTCGCTCTTGCTCAGGCTGGTTTCGAACTCCTGACCTTGAGCAATCTGTCTGCCTCAGCCTCCCAGAGTGCTAGGATTATAGGCGTGAGCCACCATGCCCGGCCTGATTAATTGATTTTCATGTTAAATCAACTTTCCATTCCTGGAATATATATCTCCCTAGGTCATGGTGTATAATTATTTTTGTATGTTGCTGGATTCTGTTTGCTAGTGTATGTTGAGGATTTTTGCATCCATATTCATAAAAGATAATGGTCTGTAGCTTTTTCTTGTGATATCTTTGTCTAGTTTGGCATTAGGGGAATACTGGCCTAATAGAATGAGTTGGAAAGTATTCTCTCCTCTTCTAAATTTTGGAAGAGTTTGTGAAGAATTAGTATTAATTTTTCTTTAAACATTTGGCAAAATTCACTTGTGAAGCTATCTGAGCCTGGGGTTTCTTTTGTGGGTAGTTTTTGATAATTAATTTAATGTCTTTATTTGTTATAGATCTATTCAAATTTTCTCGAGTCAATTTCAGTAGTTGTGTATTTCTAAGAATTTGTCCATTTAATCTGAAATTTCATTTATTGGCATAAATTTGTTCATCGTATTCCTTCATAAGCCTTTTTATTTTCTGTAATGTTCTTTCATTTCTGATTCTAGTAATTTGAGTTTTTTCCTTAGTCTAGCTAAAATGTCCATTTTTTTTTATTTTTCAAAAAAAACCTTTTGATTTTGTTTTCTCTGTTCTCTGATTCTCTAGTTCATTTACATTCATTCTAATTTTTATTATTTTCTTCCTTTTTGGGTGTTTGCCATTCTTTTTCCACTGTCTGAAGGTGGAAGGTTAAGTTGTTGATTTGAAATCATTTTTTTTAAGTAAATTTTATTATGTATACTTAAGGTATACAACATAAGATACATATATAGTAAAGTGGTTACTATAGTAGAACAAATAAATATACCCATCATCTCACATAGTTACCCCATCCTGACCCCCCCCAACCCCATGGCAAGTGCAACTATAATCTACTCATTTAGAAAAAATCTTGAATACATTAACTGTAGTTTTCATGTTGTACATTAGTCCTTTCAACTTGTTCATCCTACATTCTTTCTCTTTTTTTATATAGGCATTTACAGTTATAAATTTCTCTCTAGGCACTGCTTTAGCTATATTCCATTGGTCTTGGTATGTTGTGTCTTTATTCTCATTCATCTCAAAGTATTTTCTAATTTCCCTTGTGATTTCTTCCTTGTTGCATTAGTTGCTTAGTAGTTTGAATTTCTACATATCTGTGGATTTCCCAAATTCCATTATTTATTTCTAATTTATATTGTGGTTATTATGTATTATTTCTAATTCCATTGTGGTTGGAGAATATACTTTGTATTACTTCTATCTTTTTAAATTTATTGAGGCTTGTTTTATGGCTCAGCATATGGTCTATTCTGGAGAATGTTCCATATGTACTGGAGAACGTGTATTCTGTTGTCATTGTGTGGTGTGTTCTATAGATTTCTGTTATGTCTAGTTGGTTTATGTTGTCCAAGTCATCTATTTCCTTACTAATCTTCTGCCTTGTTGATCTATCAATTATTAAAAGTTCAGTATTAAAGTCTCCAACCATTTATTTTCTCCTTCCTTCCTTCCTTCCTTCCTTCCTTCCTTCCTTCCTTCCTTCCCTCCCTCCCTCCCTTCCTCCCTCCCTCCTTCCCTCCTTCCATTACGAGAGTACAAATGCTTTGGTTACATAAATTGCCTTTGCACTGCCTGAGTGAGAGCTACAAGGGTGCCCATCCCCCAGACAGCACACATTGTACCCATTAGGTGTGAATTTACGTATCCCCCACCTCCCCCCATCACCAGCCTAACACCCTATGAATGTTACTTCCCATATGTGCACATAAGTGTTGATCAGGTAGTACCAATTTAATGGTGAGTACATGTGGTGGTTGTTTATCCATTCTTGTGATTCTTCTCTCAAAATGGGCTCCAGCTCCACCCAGGATAATACAATAGATAATTCACCATTTATTTTTATGGCTGAGTGGTACTCCATGGTATACATATACCACATTTTATTAATCTACTCATGTATTAATGGGAGTCTCCAACCATTACTGTTGAATTATGTATTTCTCCTTTCATTTCTATTAGTTTATACTCTATGAATTTTGGTGCTCTGTTGTTAGATTCACATATATATTTATAATTGATATATATTCCTGATAAATTGACCATTTTATCATTATAAAATGTCCCTTTAGTAGATTGTTTTTCATTTTGAAGCCTATTTTGTTTTTTGTTGTTTTTTGAGACAGAGTCTCACTTTGTTGCCCAGGCTAGAGTGAGTGCCGTGGAGTCAGCCTAGCTCACAGCAACCTCAATCTCCTGGGCTCGAGCTATCCTGCTACCTCAGCCTCCCGAGTACTGGGACTACAGGCATGCGTCGCCATGCCTGGCTAATTTTTTCTATATATATTAGTTGACCAATTAATTTCTTTCTATTTATAGTAGAGACGGGGTCTCCCTCTTGCTCAGGTTGGTTTCGAACTGAACTCGAACAATCCGCCTGCCTAGGCCTCCCAGAGAGCTAGGATTACAGATGTGAGCCACCACACCCGGCCTTGAAGCCTATTTTGTCTGATATTAGTATAACCACTTCAGCTTTTTTATGGTTACTGTTTGCATCTTATATATTTTTCTATCCTTCTATTTTTAATTCATTTAATATCTTTGAATCTTAAGTGTGTCTCCTATACACTGCATTTATTTGGGATCTTGTTTTTTATCTAGTCTAACAATCTCTGCCTTTTGATTGGATAATATACTCACACAGTTAATGTTATTATTTTTATAGTTGGATTTACTTCTGCCAGTTTACCTTATACTTTCTATGTATCTCCTCTTTTTTCCTTTATTTCTCCTTTACTTTCTTTTGCATTGAATAAATATTTTCTGATATAACATTAATTTTTAAATTATTTTTTTACTATAGGCGGTCCCTAGATTACGGACAAGATACATTCCTGAAAATGTCGTTAGGTTGGATTTGCATGTAACTTAGATCCCTGATGAATCTGAGTAAATGCAAATCACATATGTGATAATAATACTACTATAATGGTTCATATGTAGTAATAATAAGACAGTGTAATACTGTAATAATAATAATAATACCCGTGTACTGTAATAACAAGTTACAGAAACTACTGTGCTCTTTCTTTTAATTCAAAGAAACAGAACATCAAAACAAACTCATACAAAAAGTTTAGATAGGAGACAGGAGAAATTTCAAAAGAGAATATTAAAAGTTAACACTCACCTAATGTTGCATCAATAGTAGGCTAATAGGAATGTTATGCTTATTTTGATCTTTCAATCAAATCAATAATAACCTTTCCATTTCCATGTCAATAATTAACCCACTATACTGCTTAGTAATAATTGATGCTTTCATTGGAGCACTGCCTTTCACATGTTCCATTATTCTTACTTTATCCTTTATAATTTTGTTCTGATAGTTGAGCAACTGAATCCTAATGCTTTCCCAATGAATAATGTGCCATGCCTTCCTCTGCATTCTTAATTATTTCTACTTTTGTTTCCATTGTAATCACCTTTTTCTTTCCTGTAGGCTCACCTGAACTTGCAGTGTACTTTCATTTTGGAGGCATGGTCATAAGGGTAAATACAGACTCACAAAATCAAATAAAAGTTAAGACAAAAGTGACACTGTGCGTAAGCAACCATATAAACAATGGAACTAGCTGCTAGTATAAAGATGGTGTGCCACCAAACTGCTTATGTCATGCGGGTTTGTTTACATGTGTGGAAGAAACTAGTTCCTGAATTATTAACTTATTATTTAATTGTAAATTATCCTTATGGGAAGCCTTGGGAGGCTGTTCATAAGTACTGAACCCTGTAAGTTGGGTCGTCCGTAACCCAGGGCCTGCCTGTATATATTTTTTGAAATGTTTCCTCAGTTGTTGCTCTAGGGCTTACCATATACCTCTTAACATCTGAATCTGCTTTAAATTTATACTAACTTAATCCCAACTGGATATAGAAGCATTACTCTTATATAGCTCCATTCTCTGTTCCCTCTTTTTGTGTACTGCTATACATATTTTATATGTATGTTATGCACTCAGTAATACATTATAATTATTGCTTGAAATAGTTTTATGCCTTTTAAAAAGGCTGTGAGAAGAAAATAGAGAAAATATATACTTATAGCTTTTGTTACATTAGTCGTCTTATTTTCCATTTCTGGTTCTCTTCATTTGTTCCTATGAATTTAAGTTACCATTGGGAGTCATTTCCTTAGTCCAATACAGCTTTGCTCCCACCAATCTCCTTTGTGGTAATATTGTTAAATATATTACATTTCTATGTTATAGGCCTAACAATAAATTATGTACATATTGTTTTCTTCAATTGCTTTTTTTTTTTTTTTTGAGACAGAGTCTCGCTTTGTTGTCCAGGCTAGAGTGAGTGCCGTGGCGTCAGCCTAGCTCACAGCAACCTCAAACTCCTGGGCTCGAGTGATCCTTCTGCCTCAGCCTCCCGAGTAGCTGGGACTACAGGCATGCGCCACTATGCCCGGCTAATTTTTTTTTATATATATATCAGTTGGCCAATTAATTTCTTTCTGTTTATAGTAGAGACGGGGTCTCGCTCTTGCTCAGGCTGGTTTTGAACTCCTGACCTTGAGCAATCCGCCCGCCTCGGCCTCCCAAGAGCTAGGATTACAGGCGTGAGCCACAGCGCCCAGCCTATTCAATTGCTTTTTAAATCAGTTAAGAGAAGAAAGGAAAATAAGTATGTATGTATGGCATCTTTATCAATGTCCTCCCTTTTCTTTTGGATTTATAGTATTGCCTGGAGTTGCTTGTTTCAGCCTGAAGAGCCTTTTTCAGTACATCTTGTAAGGTGGGTCTGTTAGCAGTAAATTTTCTCAATTTTTGTTTATCTGAGAATTTCTTCATTTTTGCCTTCATTTTTGAAAAACAATTTTGTTGAATATAAGATTCTTAGCTGACGAATCTTTTTTTTTTTCTTTGAGCACTTTGAATATGTTATCTCACTGCCTTCTGCCCTCCATTGCTTCTGATGAGAAGTCAGCTATTAATCTTAGTGGGATTCTCTTGTTAAGTGATGATTTGTTTTTCTCTTGCTCCTTCAAGACTTTCATCTTGTCTTTGGAATTTAGTATTTTTACTATAATGTGTGTTTGTGTATCTCTTTGTATTTATCCTCTTAGAATTTGTTGAGCTTCTTGGGTACATAAAGTTTTTCATTAAACTTGGGAAGTTTTCAGCTACTATTTCTTCAAATATTTTTTCTTTTCTTTTTTCTCTCTCCTCTCCTTTTGGAAGTCCTATTACATGTATGTTAGTTAACTTAATGGTATCTCTTATTTCTCTGAGGCTCTGTTCATTTTTCTTCATTCTTATTTCTCTATATTTTTAGACAGAAAAAAGGAGAAAATGTGGGAGAGATAAGAATGGAAAATAATTACATTAAGAATCACTTTGGTGAGCTTTTGAGATGCTCATAATTTCATGGCATTTTCCCTGTAAAGTGCTGCAGTGGTTGCTCATTATCTAAGTGTTCACGTTTAATACACTGTTGAGAGAAAGGGGTGGCCATCAGATCAGCTTATTTAAATTTCTATTCTACCAAAAACTTGAAGCTGCCAAGATTTCAGCAGAACTCACCTGGGTTCATGTTTCATGTTCACAACAAACTAACCTGATATATCTTTCTATAGGGTGACGGACAGACTAGCCTTGAGAACCCATGACAAGATATTTGTGCCAAGGCCTCTTTTTTTTTTTGAGACAGAGTCTCACTTTGTTGCCCAGGCTAGAGTGAGTGCCGTGGCGTCAGCCTAGCTCACAGCAATGTCAAACTCCTGGGTTCAAGCAATCCTTCTGCCTCAGCCTCCCGAGTAGCTGGGACTACGGGCATGTACCACCATGCCTGGCTAATTTTTTTTCTATATATATGTTAGTTGGCCAATTAATTTCTTTCTATTTATAGTAGAGATGGGGTCTTGCTCTTGCTCAGGCTGGTTTCGAACTCCTGACCTCGAGCAATCCGCCCACCTCAGCCTCCCAGAGTCCTGGGAGGCCTCTATCTTTTGAGGCTCTAATAGGTGCAAATTAAAATCACCCATGGCTAGGACAGTCTAGATCTTGGGAGGTATCACCCACAGTGTGAACTCCCAGAGGAAAGTTTCTTGGTGCCAGCTGCTCTACTCCCTGTTCTAGGCAATGGAGACATAGCAATAGCAAATAAGACCGGGTCTCTGCTCTGTGGTACTCACATTCTAGCATGGGAGACAGATTGCAAACCAACACATAAAGAAAAATATCAGAATAATGATGTCAAATATGCACAGAAATAAACGATGATGATGTGATGAGAGTGACTTGGGTGATATTTTATATTGTGCACACAAGAAAGGCCTCCTGTAAGGAGGTGACATTTAAACTAACCTTTGAATTATAAGATTCTTCTGGACAGTAGGAATAGCTGATGTGAAGGAACTGAGGGTGAGAATGAGCTTTTACTTATTGGAGGAACAGACAAGCTATGACTAGCCAGGGGCTAGGCCATGTAGGACTTTGCTAACCCAAGTTATGGAGTTTGGATTTTAGTCTAGGTTTGATAGGATGCTATTAGAGTGTTAAGCAGAAGAGTGATGCTATCTGACTCACATTTTAAAACCACTATAGTTTCTTTGTGTATAATGAATTATACAGAGGTAAGAGTGGAAGCTGGAGAATGGTATAGGAGGCATTTGTAGCAAGTCAGTAAAAGATGTTAATGACTAGAGGTGGTGATAATGGAGATGTAGGGAAGCAAATGGATGGGGGGATTTGCTGACAAATTGAGTGTAGAAAGCGAAGGAAATAGAGGAATAAGGAGTAATTTCTAGATATTTCCCTTGTGCACTTGAGTGGGTCATAGTGCCATTTATTGAACTGGGTAAGAAAAGGCTTGAATAAGCAGGGAGTTCAGGGGGGAATGGAGAGCTATATCACACAATCTGTTTTGATTACGTTAGTTGGAGATACTTACTGGTATTTCAAGTACAAAAGGTTAAGTAGGCAGCTGGGTAAACAAGTCTGAAACTACAGGAAGTGAGCTGGGGTCACTTGCTTTCAGCCTGAAGGAGCTGCTAGTGAGGCAGGAAGCACTCAGAGAGAATGCTTTACGCAATCTAAGGGAAAATTGTTTCAAGAAGGTACTAGAATGTGCTGACAGGCCCCGATTCCAATCCCAGTGTGTGGTTTACTTCACCTCTGAGAATTTTCTTCACCACCTGTAATATAGGGACAATACCTGATTTGGGGGGAGGGTTGTGAGGCTAAAGAAAATAAGGAAATAGCACCATCCTTTAGCATATACAAAGCACTCAACAAGTAGTAACTACTAGGACCATCCCCACCTCTAGTTTGATAAGAATTGGTCTTGTCATAGACAAATAGAGCCAAACTAGCTGTATTTTCTCAAGGAAAGATATAATTTAGAAGGACAGTGCTGTGGCCTTCATTCACTGTCCTTCAGTCAGCCCTCTATGAAAACAGTATAGGTTTCTGCCACATATCAGGAAATAGTATTCTCTACCTAGCTCTTTCTAACAAATGCTGCTTACTCTGCCTAAATAAGGCAAGACATTTAATATAATTTTTAAATGTTTCAAATGACGTCATAGTAACCACCCAAGTATTAGGTGCCTTCTTTCTTGTACTAAACATACACACACATACGCACACTTATCAGTCTTAGCAACTCAAGTTACAGGAAGAGATATATCAAACTCAAAGAATTTTGGCTACCTTCCAAATATTAAAATAATAATACAACAATAATAGTTGACATTCATGGAGGGCTTATCTAAGCCAGAAAGTACTTTGCTAATTCTTCATTCTATTAACTCGTTTAATCCCCCAACTATCCTATAAGAGTAGGAATGATCTTATCCCTTTATCATCTGCTGCAATAGATCAGCTTTAAATGAGGGTTAGTCTATTAGAATTGCACTGGCTAGGTATCCCAGTGCCTTTTTCCTGGGAGGTGTGAAATAGTTGCTCAATGAACAGTTGAAGGCTGGCTGAAGAATTAATCCCAGGTATTGGAGATAAAAGGCATTTTTTCTTTGTTTTTATATCATAATGTACCTTTAGCAGATGACCATGACAGAGTTTCAGCTTCAGCTTCCAAAGCTGTTAGCATATCTTACAATACCTAGCTGAGATATTGCGAAGAAGAACAATAACAAGCAAAATAATGCAATTGTGCGTAATCAGCACTGTTACCAGATCACCTTATCACCTTTTCTGAAGTATTTTATCACTTAAACATCTTGCTGAGTCTTTACCAGCATAACTTCATTTAAAACAATCTTAAAACTTAAAAATTTTGCCATGAAACAGAGCTTATTTTCCATGAAAACCTGTGAAATCTAGAGCCAATTTAGACTTTTTCTGAGAAGATGGAATGATTCAGATAGAGGGACTTTCCAAACACCTTTTGTTATTAATGTTTATTTCAATTAAAGAAATGTGAATTCAGAATCAATGTAAGGTAAAATCTCAAACCATCTGGCAAAAGAAATGCTATCAAGAGGTTGAGTTAAAATGTCTGTGGTACCTGTTCTATGTATTACAGACATTAACAAAATAAAAACCAAATTCTGAAGACAATCAAATTCTGATAAATTCTAGTTTGTAAAAATCAATTCAGTGGTATAGTCCCCCCAGGGGAGAAGCAATTTGCCTTTTTACCAAGTTAAAAATCAAAAGGGCACATTTTCCTCTTGTAGTGTCATCACAGCACCATTTACATGTACAAACCCTAATCCTTTTATCAGAGAATATAGTAAACTCTAACAAGACCCTGGTATTTAACAGGGCTTATGTATAATATACTACAAAACATTTTCTTTTGAAAATAAAAACGTATAATCTATTTATATATAATCTATCAAACAATCAAAACAAATATAAAGTGAAACAAAATTTCTAAACAGAAGTTCAAAAACCTGGGCAAAACTATACATTAACATCAAATAAAATCTAGCTTAATTTATCAACTAAAACACTCACTAAAAATAATGATTTCTATATGTGTAAACTGAATGTAACACTTCAACATTTCCATAGAAATTGCTGCTTTGTCACAAATTATCAAAGTCTGTTCTCCGAGTAATTTGAATGAATTTCAATTATAGGTAAATGAAGACTAAAAAACAGACACAGTGCATCAAAGTTTTTCAGAGACCTACATATAAATAATTTCCAAACACATAAATTATTATATGCTTGTGATTTAGAACAAATTTTCCCTGAGCATTCTTTCTGCCTGGTTAGAAAATTCAAACATGATCTATAAAATAGAATTTTATTTTGATTTTTCTTGAATATATGTAATTTTCACCCCTCTAATCTATTTGGAAATTTCTTAGACATCTCTAAAGTAACTAGCAATTTTAACTGTTTAAAGGGGCTATTTGAATGGCTACAGAAATATGGTTAGGTCTTAGAGCCCTGAGAACTGTACAGTGGGTGTCTCATACAGCTGAAATGATTCACTCTCCTAAAACTATCAATGGTTATTTTAACAAATTCAGAATGGCACTAGTTTCACAGAGAAAAGAGGTAATAATAACTCCAGCTCAGATGACCAAAAGATAAGCATTAAAAACAGAAAGAAAAAACAGTTGGATTAACATTGTACTTTCCATGGAATAATGCTGAAAAAAATTAACCCTTCTGCCCAACACAGTATTGAAATACCTCACCTTGAAACTTTATTTAATGCAGTCTTGAGATCTGTCACTCCTTAATATTCATGCAAACTTAAAATTAGCATCATTGGAAATTTCATCATACAAACCGTAGTTTTCAATGCTACCCCAACACTTACAATCCAAACAACATCCTACCCCGATCACTGCACATGCAGGATAACACTACCATTTGTCTTCCTCTAAATTTTTGAGGTCTTTAAAAAAACTTAATTACTTGACAGTTTAAGCCTCTTCTTTTTCCAATAAAAAAGGAAAACAAATATTGGGAGTCTTAACTATGCAAATTTGTAAATAATTGTTTTTTACATAGCCTAGAATCATAACTAAAAGAAAATTAGATTTAAGAAGTTTCATATTTACAATTAGATTTTCATAAAACCTAACTATATATTTCTCTTAGCACTATGATTTATGTGGCTTGCAAGAATAATCAATAACTTAAAATATTAAAACTTTTAAAAGTCATCGTTCTGAAGATCTTCAAGAAGTGAGTGATTTCAGATATCCAGGAGTGTGCCTTCTGTCTTTTTAGTTTTATTTAAAGGTGCTTTATGCAGGACGTCCTTGACCAAAACGACTTTTAGACCTAGATTTTTCAAACAGAAAAGAAGGTCAGAGTTGCTTCTAAAACAAAAAGAAGTTTCCACTGCTTTAGATTATGTTTGCTTGGCAATATCAAAGCTTATGAATCTTTACGTAGCTCTCAAATCCATTTTCTAAAACCCTTGGAGTGAGATGTAGATGTATTTTGGAATTTAGATTTTTTTTTAATTTTTGAGAAATAATATGGTTGTATATTATAAATCTGGGACAGTGCTCCATAATCAAGCATATTAATCTTCACCAAATGAACATGTACATTAACTGGGATAAATTAAAACTATGAGTATCATCATGGCAGCTCAGTTCAAGTTTGAATTGCTATAAATGTATAAAAGAAATGTTTTTGCTTTCTGAGCCTTCTGGATTTCAGAATTACATATAAAGCTTTACGATCTGTAATATTAATGTTCAAATCTTAGTAGCTGATTTCTAACAAAATTTGTGATATAAAATGGCACAAGACTCACCAGCTAGATTTTATTAAGAGAAAGAAAATAATAAAATAAGGAATGGTAAATACTTCAGTGATTTATATAAAGTAACAACATATAATCTACAAACAGTACAAAAATGCCATTAACTCACAGTAGCACTACACATTTTTATCAGGAGATAGGTCAGAATGAAGCTGGCTCAATAAACAGAAAACTTAAAAAAAAGAACACCTATTCGTTCATTAGATTTTGTCTTCATGACCTTTTTATTTTTTAATTTTTTTTTGTAGAGACAAGGTCTCACTATGTTGTCCAGGCTGGTCTTGAACTCCTGGATTCAAGTGATCCTCCTGCCTCCACCTCCCAAAGTGCTGGGATTACAGGTGTGAGCCACCACACCCAGCCCTTTTTAAATTTTAACTTTTAAGTTAAAATCTGGTTCTGATTAATGCTTTGATAATCTAATCCTTGAAACAAAACATAAAACCAAACTCAAATTATGTGCTTCTAGTGTTCATATGAGTTATCTTAAAAAAAAAATTCACTTCAAAGCCAGTGGCATTCTGATTTATTTTATGCTGATTTACCTTGTGTTTTTCTCTGAGCTGCTTTGCCGTGCACTAACTGGCACCGAGGCCTTGATTTGTGCTTCAAGTCGGGAATAAATGCCTCCTGCGAACTGCAGAATAAAGAGAATTAAGTTATCTTCACAGAGTCAATAGAGGGACTGCTTTATTAAAATGAGATTACTTTATAATTTAGAAGTAATTTTATTTTGATTTTTAAAATCCAGCCTTTTTGAGGTATCATTTATATACAGTAAAATTCACAATTTTAGTGTATAGCTCTGGATTTTTTTTTTTTTTTTTTTGAGTAGAGTCTCGCTTTTTGCCAGGCTAGAGTGAGTGCCGTGGCGTCAGCCTAGCTCACAGCAACCTCAAACTCCTGGGCTCGAGCGATCCTTCTGTCTCAGCCTCCTGAGTAGCTGGGACTACAGGCATGCGCCACTATGCCCGGCTAATTTATATATATATATATATATATATATTATATGGCCAATTAATTTCTTTCTATTTATAGTAGAGACGGGGTCTTGCTCTTGCTCAGGCTGGTTTTGAACTCCTGACCTTGAGCAATCCGCCCGCCTCGGCCTCCCAGAGAGCTAGGATTACAGGCGTGAGCCACCGCGCCCGGCCTATAGCTCTGGATTTTAACAAATGCATACAGCTGTGTAACCACTGTCACAACGAAGACATAGGTGTATCACCCCCAAGAAAATTTCTTTGTGCCCATTTAAAGTCAATCCACCTATCACCAACAATTCCTGGCAACCACTGGTCTGTTTTCTGTCCCTATAGTTTTAGATTTTCCAGAACATTATAGAAATGGAATCATACAGTACATAGCCATTTGAATCTGGCTTCTTTCACTTAACGTAATGTATAAGAGATTAATCCATGTTGATGCATAGATAAATCAGGAGTTTGTTCTCTGTTATACATACAATTGGTTTTTCCAGTAACCAGGTAAAGGACACCATTTGGGGTGTTTCTAGTTTTTAACTATTATGAATATAGCCACCATAAAAATGTGTAAATTGATTTGTATGGTGAATGTTAATAAAAAACTGCCAAACTATTTACCAAAGTGGCCATTCTTTTTAGTAATCCTACTAGCTATCTATGAGAGCTCCAGTTGCTCCTTATCCTTATCAACACTTAGTTTTTTGTGGGTTTTTTTTTTTTTTGAGACAAGATATTACTCTTTTGCTCAGTGCTCAGTGTAGAGTGTACTGGCATCATTATAGCTCACTGCAGCCTTGAACTCCTGGGCTCAAGTAATCCTCCTGCCTCAGCCTTCTGAATAGCTGGGACTACCAGGGCATGCCATCTCAGTGGACTAATTTTTCTATTTTTTTTTAGAGACGGGATCTTGTTGCCCAGGCTGGTCTTGAACTCCTGGGTTCAAGCAATCTTCCCTCCTTGGCCTCCCAAAGTGCTAGGATTACAGGTATGAGCCACAGTACCTGCTTGTTTTTTTTTAATTGTAGACATTCTAGTTGTATATGGTGGTATGAGGTTTTAATTTACATTTCCCTAATGTTGCACCTTTTTGTGTGCTTATTTGTCATCTGAATCCCTTCTTTCATGGTATCTGGTTAATTTTTTGTTCATTTATTTTTACTGGGTTTTTAATTTTATTATTAAGTTTTGAGAGTTCTTTATATATTCTGGATACACATCCCTTTTTATGTCAGTGTTTTACACATAATTTTCTCATAGTTTATGGCTTGTCTTTTCATTCTCTTAATAGTGGGTTTTTTTTTGAGACAGAGTCTCATTCTGTTGCCCAGGCTAGAGTGCCGTGGCGTCAGCCCAGCTCGCAGCAACCTCAAACTCCTGGGCTTGTGTGATCCTTCTGCCTCAGCCTACCGAGTAGCTAGGATTACAGGCATGTGCCACCATGCCCGGCTAATTTTTTCTATATGTATTTTAGTTGGCCAATTAATTTCTTTCTATTTTTAGTAGAGACGGGGTCTCGCTCTTGCTCTGGCTGGTTTCAAACTCCTGACCTTGAGCGATCTTCCCACCTTGGCCTCCCAGAGTGCTAGGATTACAGGCCTGAGCTACCAGTTTTCCCATTTTTTTCATTTATGGACAATGCTTTTGGTATTATAGCTAAGATTTGCTACAATAGTTGCCTAGTTTAAGGTCACAAGCATTTTCTCCTATGTTTCCTTTTAGAAGTATTATAAGGAAGTAATTTTTAAATAAAAGAATTAGGGCAAGAGTTATGATACATACATAATACCAATACTAACAATATATAATGTTATATATGACTAATATGTAATTCTAGTAAGAATATAGGTGCTTCTAAGTCATCATTTGCAGCGTAACATCTTATCATAAAGATGACATCTAAGTACCACATGCAGAGTTGATCAAAATCAGTACTTTCAGAAATTAGCATTTCATCAACAATGTACACTTAACCTACTCTTGGTGTGATATCACACTTTCAGCAATGATATACCTTTTTACATGTTTTATAGAGAACCCATGGACCATGGATAATAAAAGGTGGTGGAAAACTTTTGTGAATGAACTGGCTAATTGGTATAGAATATACAAATATCTAAATTATTCTTTTAAAATTCTGCCTAAAATATCTTTATACTCCTTGATGAAAATAAAAGTAGGAAGGTATGTCTTATGCAAGTACAGTATACTATTAATAGTATGAAATTCTTACTTCTTTTGCTTCCTTTGATTTGACTCTGTCCAGATCACCCAATCTCATTTTTATTAGGTGCCCTGTAATTTCAGACATTCGCCGCTGATCTGAAGGTAAAAAATAATAAACTTTACTTTTCATGAGGATGATTTAAAACTTTTTTCCTTAAAAAAGTTTGTAATCACCAAGGGTATGACAATATCTTTTTTTTGAGACAGAGTCTCACTCTGTTGCCCCAGCTAGAGTGTCGTGGTGTCAGCCTAGCTCACAGCAACCTCAAACTCCTGGGCTCAAGCAATTCTTCTGCCTCAGCCTCCTACAGGCATGCACCACCATGCCTGGCTAATTTTTTTTCTATATATTTTTAGTTGTCCGATTAATTTCTTTCTATTTTTAGGAGAGACGGGGTCTCACTCTTGCTCAGGCTGGTTTCAAACTCCTGACCTTGAGCGATCCTCCCGCCTCAGCCTCCCAGAGTGCTAGGATTACAGGTATGAACCACTTTGCCTGGCTGAAAATATCTTTTGATAATATTTTACAGACACATACATTTATATATCTGTGAAGAATTTAAGGTAGCAAGTAGCAAAATGACTTGTACATGGATAATTGTCCTGCTTTTTAGATCACTATAAAACATCCTAAAACATATTCAGTCACTTTTACAGTGAAAATGACAGGAAAAAGTTGATCTGAGAGATCTCAAAACCACAGATGCATATAAAACATGATTCACTGGGATTGTCTAGTGGTGAAACTCTGGTTATTGCCTAAGAGAATGTGCAAATGTGGGGCCTTATTTTAGCTGGAACCTTTAAAGATATTCAGCATACTTCATAAAATCAAAGCTATTCCAATCACTGTTGTTTATATCCAATGTGTATATTACCCCAATAATAAAATTTACCATCTTCTCTTTGTGCATCCTGGTTGAATCTCAAGGATCTCGTAGCATCCCACTTATTCTTCTGCATACTCACACTATTGAAAAAATTGAACAAAATCAGCATTGATGCTGCTTTAAGAGTGGACATCCAATTGGATTAAGACGCAATACTCACACGAAAGGAGACACATCTCTAGAAGCTGACTAAAAAAGAGTAGACAACATTGAGGCCCAGTTAGAACATATTTACTGATTAGTGTTATAGTTAATAACAAAAAGAGTTCACATATATTAAGTGCAAGACACTGTATCAAGAGCATTACAAGTGCTATTTCATTTAAACCTTGCAACAACCATGTAAGACAGGCACTATTATTATCATCTCCATAATATTAATAAAACAAGTTCAGAGAGGTTCAGAAACTTCTCTGAAGAGGTACAGACCTAGAATTTAAACTCAGCTTTATTCGCCCACCTTGAAGCCTCAGCTTATACAACCTTTTAGAATGAACCCTATGGTACTTAACAAGAAGATGAACGTATAACCTGTCAATTTAACTGTGTGGATCTTATCTTAGCCCCAACCTTCCATGCATTTTTGAAATTCATGGTTTCTTTTTTAGCCAACTGTGGTTATTATTATCTTTTTATTGCTACCTGGCTTTTTAGCTCTTATTTCAAAGGCATAGGGAAATAAGAATTATTTTAAACGGTCATAAAATATAATTTATTTTTAATTTAAAAGTCTATTTTTTGAATAAGTAATATTGGTTCAAAATTCAAAAGGTATAAATAGCACATATAATAAAAAGCCCCTCACCTCTGTCCCCCACACATTCAGTTCCCTTCTTTAGAGGTAACCAATCTTACCAATTTCTTATGTAGCCTTCCAGAGATAATTTATATATATACAAGGAAGCTCATATATATATTCCCCCCCATCTATTTCACACAAAGGGTACTGTATTATGCCACTGTATACTGTTCTGCACGTTCCTCTTCTAATTTATCAATATATCTTGGAGATCTTTAATCTCAGTCTATAAAGAACTTCTCGTTTTTACACTGCTGGCATTCCACTATGTATTCATTACTCTTTTCTTTTGGATTTTTCCTGGCTATACTCACTTCCTTATTTTTCCATATGAACTTTAGAATAATAATAGACAATTTAGAGTTACCTTCTCCAATGCCTTTTCTTTCTTCTGAGCACAGGGTGAAGACATCTGCTTTTTTGGCTGTTTAGTGAACTTCTTTGGCTTCTCCTTTTTCCCTGATAATGTAAGGTCAATGTTAAAAGCTTACGTATCATATTCCTCTCCAATATACTTGCTACTTCTAGACAATAAAAGTAATTTTTTAAAAAAATTGTTGTAAAAAAATAGCAAATTACTTCTGGATAAAAAGGAAATATATGGTGAAGTAAAGCTAAAATTGCTTTACAGAGGTTCATTTTAACTACTTTCTGCTTGGTGAAAATCTTTGGCGGAAAAGTGAGGGCAATGAATTCAAAGTCTCAATGAAATGAAATATTGAAAAATGATGAGAACAACTACATATTTATTTCTCTGATTCTATTTCTACAGTGGAGTAATCTGATTCCAAAATTTTTGTTTAAAAATAACTATAACTTAGAAAAACACAATTTGAAAATGGGAGAGAGAAAAAGTCACAAAAAATCTATAAAATGTCTTTTGCTCGGGTAGGAGGTAGGATAGTAATGATCTTGGAAAAAAGTAAATTTGGGACAAATTATATTCTGGCCTAGGGCATTCTTGGAGTCAATATTCTTAATCTATTTTGTCTGACAGTGTGGTGGAGAAAGGAGAGGGGCAGAAAAGAAGGAGAAAGAGGTATTTCTCTAAAAACAACATATAAGGGTCAGAATAATATCCTAGATAACTTTCCTAAGCAATTATTTGCATAGCAACTTCACAATTTTTGCAATATCATTTAAAAGGGAAACTTTATATCACTATCATAAATGGAAAACCTGTAAAACATGCTACATAGACTATAACCTTGAAGATACTGTAATAAAAACACAACATAGTAATCTAGAGAGATTTATTTGCCTGCTGGCATGACCTAAACCCCTGACGCGTGTCTCTGTTAAAACTGGGAGATTACCAAGTGTTATAAAATTGCTAAAAGGCATGATAGAGCAGGATGTCTGATAATGGCAATATAAAGGGGCTGGAAAATTCCTTCCAAAGAAAACAATTATAAAAACAATTATCTGATGGTACTGGCAAATAATCAAAGGTAGGTGGCAAGTTGAGTGTTTATAAGTGAAAGATACATGAGGTAAGAACTATGCGTTTGTGGCTTTCTTGCCTGAAGGCACTTCCTAATCTCCCTGTCTCAGGGAGGAGAATCTCACCCCAGGGAGAGATGACAGAGTTCAAAGCAATAGAGAAGCTAGAGATATAAATGGGAAATTTTGGAAGTAAGAAAGCCACAGAAGGCCTGAAATCTAAAATGTGAGTATAAATTCCACCCAAATTTCCAGCTGAGTGTTAAACTATGCAAGTATATGGGTCACCCTAGGAAGCCCAGCTAAAAGGTAGGCAAAAATTAGGGTGGGATGTCTACCCTTGCAAGACAAAACTATTATGGGTGAGATTTGGGACTTTCTTATGGCTTTGATTGAATTCTTTCCCCAAACTGCACATAGCTTGAGCTTTAGACAGCACAAGCTTTACTGGCTTAAGGTGTCAGAGGACAGACTTGGGACTGGAAACACACCCAGAAATCCAAGGGAAACCTGTAAAGCAAGGGAATCAGCAAATAGGTAAGCTCCAATATCTGAATGCAAATTCTGTCCAAATCTTTGGCTGACCCCTATACTACACAGGCAGGTGTGACTCCTGAGGGCAGGTTAAAGCAACAGCAGTTAGTAGTCAGAAATACCTGTGCGGAAACATTATCCATAGCACATCACAGAAAGGGCAGATTTTGCAGTTTTGACCCAGGAAAGTTAACTGCCTACTAAAACAAAAAAATCTAATAATCCTCAGGACACAGAAAGATTTCAGAGGTGCACAAGGATAACCTATAATGTCCAGTTTTCAACTAAAAGTTACAAGATTAAGAAACCGAAAAGTTGGCCAGGCGCGATGGCTCACACCTGTAATCCTAGCACTCTGGGAGGCCGAGGCAGGCGGATTGATCGAGGTCAGGAGTTCGAAACCAGCCTGAGCAAGAGCGAGACCCCGTCTCTACTATAAATAGAAAGAAATTAACTGGTCAACTAATATATAGAAACAATCAGCCGGGCATGGTGGCACATGCCTGTAGTCCCAGCTACTTGGGAGGCTGAGGCAGTAGGATTGCTTGAGCCCAGGAATTTGAGGTTGCTGTAAGCTAGGCTGACGCCACGGCACTCACTCTAGCCTGGGCAACAAAGAAACTGAAAAGTATGACCTACTAAGAAAAGTAGTCAGCAGAAAGTAATCCTAAATGGGCCTGCATGTTGGATTTAGCACACAATGACTTCCAAACAAGCATAATAAATATGTTTAAAGGAAAAAATGGTATTTTTAAGTGAACACATAGGGAATCTCAACAGAGAAATGGAAACTATAAAAGAAGAACCAAATGGAAATTCTAGAGCTGAAAAGCACAATGATTAAAACGAAAAATATTTACTATATAGGTTCAAGAGAAAATCTGAAAAGGAAGAAAGAATCAGTGAATCTGAAGACAGGGCATCAGAAATTATCCAATCCAAAGAACAAAGAAAAGATTAAAAAAACCCAAAATATCAAGACCTCTTTGACAGTATCAAAAGGTTTAACACATGTGTAACTGAAGTTCCAGAAGGCGAGTGAGAGAAAAAATATTTAAAGAAATAATGGCTGTAAATTCCCAAAATTTTGTGAAAAAAATCAATTTACAGATCCAAGAAGCTCAACAAATACTAAGTATGATAAACAAAAAGAAAACCACATCTAGGCACAACACAGTCAAGCTTCTAGAAGACAAAGATAAAAAGAAAATCTCTAAAGCAGCAAGATAAAAAGGATATATTACATACAGGGGGACAATAATATGATTGAGGCCAACTTCCTTTTTTTTTTTGGAGACAGGTCTTGCTCTGTTGCCCAGGCTAGAGTATAGTGGCCTCATCACAGCTCACTACAACCTCAAACTCATCGGCTCAAGCAATCCTCCTGCCTCAGCTTCCTGAATAGCTGGGACTACAGGTGATCACCACCATGCTTGGCTAATTTTTCTATTTTTTGTAGAGACAAAGCCTTGCTCTTGCTCAGGCTGGTTTCAAACTCCTGACCTCAAACGATCCTCCTGCCTTGGCCTCCCAAAGTACTTGTATTACAGGTATGAGCCACCATGCCCGGCCTGAGGCTGACTTCTTGTCAGAAACAATGGGGGCCAGAAAACATTGGAATGACACATTCAAAGTGCTAAAAGAAAAAATAATTATTAAACAAAAATTCCAAATTGAGCAAAACTGTATTTCAAAAACAAAACTGAAATAAAGACTTTTCAGATAAATAAAAATGAGAGAAGACCATAGTAGACCACTATGGGAAATAATGAAGAAAGTCATACAAAATAAAAGAAAATGACAGCAGATGATAACTCAGATATACAGGAAAAATGATAAATATGTGGGTCAATATAAAAGATTAAATGTATATCTTTTTCTTTTGTTCTCATATGTTCTTTAAGTGACATACAAATATTTAAAGCAAGAATCTTAACACTGTTGGGTTTATAATGTATATCGCTATAACACATATATCACAATAATATCAGAAAAGGAGAGCAGGCAAATAGAACTATATTATTTCAAAGTTCTTATATTTTACCTGAAGTAATTCATATTACTTTATACTATTTAGCTTTAAGTAGATTGTAATAGGTTAAAGATGCATATTATAAACCTTAGAACAACCAAATGCAAAGGAATATAATCAAAAGGCAATAAAATAGTTAAAATGATATACTAAACTTATTTTCTTAGCACAAAAAAAGTAGGAAAGAAGAAACAGGGAAACAGTAATATTTGAGACAAATAGAAAACAAATACCAAAATGGCAGAACATAACCTTATCAACAAATACATTAAGTATAAATGGAAAAAATGCTATAATCAAAGGCTGAGATTGTGAAACTGGATAAAAAGCAACCCCCAACAGCATGCTATTTACAAGATATCCACCTTTCATAAAACACAAAAGGACTGAAAATAAAAGGATAGAAAAAGATATGCCATTCAAACAGTAAATAAAATGAATCTAAAATGACTATCTTAATATTAGACAAAGTAGACTTCAAGATAAACACTTTTACTACAAAGAGGGATACATCTTAATGATAAGAGTCAATACACTATAAATGTAGATGTGCCTAATTACAAAGTGCTAAAATATACAAGGCAAAAATTGATGAACCTGAAATGAAAAATACACAAATTATCACTTATAGCTGGAGATTTCAACCCTCCTTTCTTACTAATTGATATAACAAGTAGTGAGAAAATGAACACGATTATAAAAGACTTGTACTGGACAACCAAACAAAACCTGACCTCACTGACATTTAGACTATTCCAACACCAACAGCAGAATTCACATTCTTTTTGTGCACATCTGGTACATATCTCAATAAAATTCAAAGGATGAAACCACATACAGTATGCTTTCTGACCACAATGAAATTAAGTTAGAAAATTAAGTTAGAAATTAAGTTATAACTGAAAAGTATCTGGAAAATCTGCAAATATTTGGAAATTAACACCCTTCTAAACAACACATAGGTCAAAGAAAAAAATCATAAAGGAAATTAGAAAACATTTTATATTAAATACAAATGAAAAGATATATCAAAATCTGTGGAAAGTACTTAAGTTGTGCTTAGAGTAAACTTAAAGCTTTAAATGCTTATAGTTCCCTTTTATCTGCATTCCATAGTTTCATTTACCTGTGGTAATGTAATAAACTATAGTCCAAAAATATTAAGATATTTTGAGAGAAACTACACTCACATAATTTTTATTACAATATATTGTTATAATAGTTCTATTTTACTATTAGTTATTGTTGTTAATCTCTTACTGTACCTATTTATGAATTAAACTTTATCAAATATGTATGTATAGGAAAAAACATGCTACATGTTGAACATCCCTAATCCAAAGATCTGAAAGCTAGAATGCTCCAAAATCCAAAACATTTTGAACACCGACATGATGACACAAATAGAAAATTCCACATTTGGCTTCATGCGATAGGTCACAGTCAAAATGCAGGTACACAACATAGTTATTCAGTA